TGCTTGAATCCAGGAGGGGAGTTCAGACCTCCTCTTCCACCTGTGTGGTAGTTCTTTGGACTGACAGGTAACCCAATTTGCCCAAGTTGTTCAGAGACCTTCCACCCCAAAGTGACCCAGAGGTGAAGGAGGCCATGTTCATACCTGCTTGGCAGCTGCCACACCCTGACCGCTGGCCTGAAGGCCCTTCCGAGGCCGTGGCCCTGGCATCTTGGCAACCTAGATACCTATCAGGTGGGGAGTTAAAAGAGAATCAGACACACTGGAGTAGACCTGAGCCAAGTTCTGACAGTGGTAAATGTGGTTAGTGAGCCCTCCTGGGTGGCAGTACTTTACCCAGGGGTTAAAATACCAATCTTAGAATTACAGGATTGAAATAAGAAACATGGGAGATGGGAGGCTGGAGATCACCTGTCAGTGGGTTTAGTAGGGAGTGTGAACACACAATATAAAGTTACTGAACTGTCTGAKGGAAGGCATATTCAGAGAAGCAACCTTGTCTACAGGGTAGGTTTAAGGTTGGGTAGGATTCAGACAGACTCTAAAGCAGTACTATCCATTCTGGAAACAACATGTGGTAGTTTATATTAATTAAAATTACAAATCCATGCCAGACACATAGCTGTATGTGGCTACTGATCACCAGTAGACACTTTAGATTTAGACATATTAGATACAAAGCATTTTTCACCATGGCAGTTTCTTTGGGCACCTCTGCACCAGAGAAACCTGATTCAGCATTCAGATTCCCTCAGAGCTCCCCCAACAATTCATGGGACCTACAGGGCAGATGATGTTGGGCACTGGGAGTGCAGAAGTTAATGTAACCCTCAAGGAACATTCACAGGTTTCAGTCTTCAAGGAACATTTACATGGTGTAGACAAACCCATGAATTAAAAAACACCAAACAGGGTAGATGCAGGTGCCATGGGTGCCTAGAAGTAGCCCTTTATCCAACCGAGAGAAAAGATTTCTTGGAGAAGGCGATGCCTGTGCTGAGTCATGAAGTTGGGGGAAAAGAAAAATATAGGACTCCAGGCATAAGGACAACTTCATAATGGTTCTGGGGTAAGAAAAGGAAACGTTATAAAGGCCTGGTATTACTGGGACATACACCAAACCCTGAGTCCGGAAAWGGTATAAGATAGAAATGTGAGCAAGGGGCAAAACCTTTAATCCTAACGAATCTGAGCGTTATTCTGAAGAGAGGGGGAAAGAAGTGACAGGTTCAGGCCAGTGTTTCAGAAACATCACTATATGCGGTAGGGAAGGTGCACAGGAAGTAGGAAGGAGTGCAGGGCAGGAAATCTGGCTACTGAGCATCTTGCAATAGTCTGTGTGGGGGGTGGCAGTGGGGATGGAGAGAAGCGGCTGGAGTCCAGAGTTAAGAGGTAAAATGTACAGGGCTAAGAGGTTAACTGGGTGTGGGCGCATGGGAGCTGGCGTCCTGGAGGACTAACAAGTGTCAGATTTCGAGACTTGGGTGAATCGCGGGTGTCAACTGAGCAGGGGCTGCGGGAGTGACTCTGGGTTCAGGGGAAAGTCAAAATCGGTCAGACTCTCCAAGTGTGCGGTTTCGGTGCTGGACCCAAGTCCAGGGTCAGTAGAGAGTGCGCAGAGAGAGGCGAAGCCGGGCCCCCCACTCCCACGCGGCTGGGCTCACCGCTGGGCCCGGGCCTGCCCAAGCCGCCTCCATCTCCCCGGTTGTCCCCAGGGCTACCCACGCCAGGGGGCGGGGACGCGGCATACCTCGCGGCGGATCCGAACCAAACCCGAGCCTTCTACCTCCCGGCACCGCCCTGGCTTCCCGCGGCCCCCGGGAGGCAGCAGAGGCAGCAACAGGAAGCGCCCGCCCGGAGGCGGCTGGCACCCAACACGTGATTTCACAGTCGAGAGGTTCGCAGTGCGCATGTGCAAGGCGAAGCGGGCGGGGCGCTCCGCCAGGTGACTCCTAGGGTGGGGTTCGCAATGCGCAGGCGCCTTTGGCCAGGTAGTGAGAGACAAGAGAGTGTCGGGCGGTTCCACCCAGACTTAACTTCCTTCGCAAAAGCAGTAGGCGCACCTCTTCCTTTGTTCAATGACTTCGCCAAACCTTCTCTGTGGTTCTCAGGATCAGGAACTGGGCACCCGCTCGACAGGCCTGTACCGCGGACGTCCTCGCCCGGCCCCGTGTGCTGGCCACCCTGGTTGTAGACCTTTCTAATCAAGTCTCCGAAGTGGATCTCTCATAATTTTCATAATTCAGCGCCCCGTTTCCATTCAGAAGGCGGGTTGGAACTTCAGAATAAAAGAAGCAAAGCGCATTGCAACTCTGGAAAACACTTAAAAAGTTTATGGCCTTTCATTTCTATCTTCTAATACTATTAGTGATTTCCAAAATTTTCCTGTTTCCTTGGATAAAAGGCTTTACATCTCATTGTTTTGGGATAACTTCTCAGGGAAGGGACATCATTTTCTTTTTTGGTATTAGTTTTCGAACCCAGGCCCTTCTTATGTGAGGCGAGGACTCCGTCTCAGTGCGACATGACACTTTAACAACTCTTTAGCCGATGCTGTCATAGAGCTTGTTACTGTCCTGTCTCAGCCTCCTGAGTATCTGGGGTTACAGGCGTGCACCATTACCCCTGGCTTCATGACTTTAAATTTTTGTTGTTGTAGATAGACAATTCCTTTATTTACTTATCTATGTGGTACTGAGAATCAAACCCACTACCTCACACGTGCCAGGTGCCAGGCGTGCGCTAACCACTGTGCGGCAACCCCAGCCCCTGGCTTCATCAGTTTTGAGATTTCACTTCCGTATTTTTTTTCTAACTCCTTCTAAAGTTTAACATTTTTATAATGGAATGTTTAAGGTATACACAAAGACATACAACATTTCAAGTTTACTAGAATGCAAACTCCACAAAGGTAAAAAATTTCCCTATTTCTATTGGGTATCTAGAGCATGGTACACAATAGGCACTCAGTAGTTGCTATTTGTGTGGGACTTAGCATAGCCTCATGGACACTTACTCCAAGTTTTTTCTTAAACCGCAATACGGTTCAGGCCACCTGCACATCTTCAGTACAGTAAACTTATGAGACATCTACGATCTTGAGAGTGGGGTTTATTGTTCCTGAACATTTCTATTTTTGTAAGTTTTGTATCATACTGCATAATTGGAACTTTTTCTACTCAACCCTGTTTGCAGGATCCATCCACATATTTTCAGATTTTCCTTTCTGGAGTTCCATAGTATGAAAATGAATTGTCATTTTTTCAATTGCCTGCCATCACAGTGCCATGAACATTCTTGTACCTAACTCACAGTATTACCGCTGTTGACCGGTGAGGAGTCCTTGCTTCCCCAATGTTGAAGAATAACACCAAAGAGGCACACCGAGGCAAGGTCAGAGTAGAAATTAGAAGTTTATTAAAGGACAGCAGAAAAGACTTCTCCCAGAGGAAGAAGGGGACCCAAGAGGTGGAATCCGTGGAAGTGCGGTTGTTTCCCCTTTTTATAGTTTTGGTGATGGAATGTAGGTTGGAAGGCCTGAGGGGTGGGACACAGGTGGACCAAAGTAGTAGTCTGAGCAGGAAGGACTTCATTAACACTCCATGAGTTGTCCTGCGTTTCCTGGAATCATTCTCAGCATGGCCTCCATTTTAGATTTCACTCAGTATTAGACCCGATTTACCTAACTACACTGACTACCTAACTTTAAATCTGGCTTCAATAGTACATATATGTGAATTTCTCCAGAGCATATTACTAGGAATGGAATCATAGGATTTCTTACATTTTTTCAGATTGTGCTATCACATTGTTTCAAAAGTTGTCAGTAGTTTCTTATGCCCATCAGTGAAGCATTTGGGTTCCAATTATGCCATATAACTACTCAGTCTTTTTTTGAAATACATATATATTGTTTAGTTATAGATGGACAATACCTTTCTTTTTTTGTTAATGTGGCAGTAGGGTGCAAACTCAGTGCCTCACACATCCTAGGCAAGAGCTCTGCCACTCAGCCACAACTCCAGCCCCCATGTGGGGGCTGTATATACAGGTTTTTGATGTGAAATGGTTTAAAAAAATATTTTGATACTGATCCTCAGCCAATTATAATAGGCTATATATACATGAGAATATGCTTTCTTCCCAGGAGGGATTGAACCGAAGGATACTTTGCTGCTGTGTWATAGCCCCATCCCTTTCTATTTTTTGCCTAGGCTGACCTTGAACAGAAATTACAGGCCTATGTCCCATACCTGGATTATAATTGTATTTCTTAAATCTAGGGCCCAATTAAGGTTCACTCACTGCATTTAGTTCTCATATCTCTATTCTCCTTTGGTCTTGGATATTTGGGGGTTTTGTTTTTTCTTTGTGATATTTAAAATGAGTGCAACAATTGCTTTGTAGAACATTTCTCCCTTAATTTAGATTTGTCTGATAGTCTTCTCATCAACAGATTCAGGCGAAACATTTCTGGGTGAGGTTGTTTTTCTCACATAAAGATTTAAATATCAGTTTGTCTTATTTTTAGTTTCCATATAAATATTAGAATTAACTTCCAAAGTAATATAAGAAACTGTGCCAAGACTTGCATCTAGACAACAATTGCATCTCTTTATTCGATTTCTTCCTAGTAAAATTAATGTGCCAAAATAAGTCTTTTATACATGAAGATTTGTTTCTATTGTAAATTTTTTAATGTTATATGTTTTTTAAAAGTACATTTCTAGGCATGTTGCTAGAGATCACTTCACCTTTTTGAGCGTCAATTTTATTTAAAATAATAAAAACCAGTGGCCTTGGGCCTATGGTAGAAGGACAGTTTGGTTTTATACTTTGAATGTTTGTATTGACTATAAAGTTCTCAAACTTTTTGGAAAAAGCAAATCATTTAACAGAAAATTCGAAAACACATGATAGTCATTTTGTATATTTTACTTCAATAAGTTTAGAAAAAGGAAATGGGGATCTTTAAAAAACAGTTGTCCTTTAGAAGGTTTTCACTCCTCTTTCAGCGCATAAAGCACATCATCCTGGCTGACGTTGAGCCGCACACGAAGGAGCAGGTCGTTCCTGCTGGGCTCCACCAAGAGGAGGCGACAAGAGCCCAGACGGGAACACACAGCCATGGTCTCTGACATGGTTGGGTATGGCAGTCCCTCCATCCTGCACAGGGCCACATGTTGAGTGTATATCTAGATACAAAAAGGACAGGTTAAGAGGAAGGGAAGTCCTGGGTCAGTATCTGACCATTGCTTCCTTGGGAAAATTATAGACACCTGCTGCCCAGGATAACAAATAATCTAGAAACATTAATGGAGAATGGAATGCCAGCCTATGAATCAGAAAGCAGCATGCCTGATTCTTGGCTATCATTTGCCTAAACATGCAATACTGGGCAAGTTCACTTTTTTGAGCTTCAGTTTTACTTATAAAACATAATGCACATTCCTTATGGGTTAATAGGTATACAATGACTATTAACTGTCATTATTACACAAATAGTCCTGGTAGTCGTGGTCTGAATTTCACAATTGAACTGACAACATTTAAGTCATGTATTGCTACATGGGTACTTTATCAGATACAATGAGCAGATGCCAAGGCATGACTCCTGCAAAGCACAAAGGCTCAAAGAGAAAACTGAATAAAGGAATAAAGGGAGGGAGGAGGAAGCTGCAAACACAGATTGCTACCCTAATGCTCCTCACTGGGTCAATCAAGTCAGTAGCATTTATGGTCACTCAATTCTAAATATTTATATTTAGAATATACATATTCCCTTCTACCAAGACTGGGAGTGTAATAAGAGCAAGGATGTTAACCAATTCAGCTTGGGGTTCCCAGTGCACACTACAGTTAATGGCATACTGCAGAGAGATGTTCAGGAAATGGTTAACAAACTAAAATGAAAGTCACTCTTCATAAAAGAACTTTCTCTGGAAGGAGACAATAAAGGGCAAAAATATGATCCATAACTAAATGTTCACAAAGCCATTTATTTTTAATACCTTTTTAAATTTTTTGGTACTAGAAGTTGAATACAGGGGTGCTTTATCACTGAGCTATATTCCTAGTTCTTTTCATTTTGAAATAGGATCTCATTAAGTTGAGGTATACTTCAAACATGCAAACCTCTGCCTCAGCCTCCCAAGTTGCCAGGATTACAGTCATGTGCCACTGCACCTAGCCCCAAAAGAATTTATAACTGACCTATTAAAGAAGCTAAAGGGAAAATGTTTTCCTGTTCCCTCTAATATATACTCACAGATATACACACTGTCATGAATATCTTTAATAAATACCTACAAACACCAGTTTTAAGGCAAGAGCCCTAATGATTCCTTTTAGATGATCTAATTGAAACTATGCTCTTCATAGACCAATTTGATATGACTGTTTTCAAACATGGCCTCAATCTGAAAGCCTTGTCTCCATTCTAACATAAGCTGTCTGAAGAGTAGTAATTTTGGCTTGTTCATCTCACTTCTTGAATAAAGTTTGGCACACAGTAGGCCTTCAAGTTAATATGCAGAAATCAATTGCTAAAGGCATCTTCTTCTGCAACACACCACAACATCCCATGAGTTCTAGATTCTACAGCATGGCAGGGTGACTACAGTTTACAATGACCTACTCCACATTTTCATGAAGAACTAGAGTAGAAGATTTTCAAAGGCTCCAAACATCAGGAGGATGGTGAGTTAAAGCCAGCCTCAGCAATTTAGCAAAGCCCTAAGCAACTCAGCAAGACCCTGTCTCTAAAGGACTGGGGGTGTGGCTCAGTGGTTAAGCACCCAGGTTCAATCAGTACCAAAAAAAGGTACAATTATTATGTTAAATTAAAAAGAACAAACTATTTAAAATCACATAAAAATAGGTATTAATCTGGTATTCTTAAGCAAAGCCAGGGTGGCTCAAAATAAAGACAAACTATTATACACTGATTATAATTTTCATATATTTTTAAAGCCCCAGATTAAAATCTAGAAGGATTTGAGAAAAGAAGATCAACCACCTGTTGAAATGTTGCTTCTTCCAGTCCTGACCGATGGAACTCTGCAAGGATGGCTCTCAGGAAGCCCTGTTCCAGGATGGAGGAATTTCTTAAAGGAAATGAGATGTGAGTTTTCATAAGGTTGCACCACCAACCCCAAGGAAAGCTAAATAAAGCTTCTCTGTCTTTAGAGAGAAGGAGAAACACTGGGAAACTATTTTTTATGTAGTTCAATAAGGTTCCTCCCTTGATAAGTCTCAAACTGAGAAAAAACACCACTTTGGAAAAGGGAGAATACAGAAATTAACTGCACCTGGAATTACACTAGCACCTCAAAAACATCCGTGTTCTCATTTCATGAGCTGAGTTCAACATGCAGTGAGAAGCCAACTGCTTCCTTCTTGTTCCCATAGTGGTTTTACTCACTAAACTCCTTACAGTAGCTCAATAAAATGGCAGGTATTCACCTGTTTTCTTGGGTTTGTTTCTGCCTCCCTGACTGACCTATGCCTCTAAGAAAAAAAATTATGTCTTTAGTAAAGTAAGTCCAATGAGTTTCCTTTAAGTTCAGAAAGGAAAGCCAGTTTCCAAAGCCTTCCCAGGCTGTAGACTGCCATTGGTCTTTCAAGGAGATTCAGGGAGCAAACATCTTACTTGATGGCAGTGATATACGATGAGGAGAACATTTCATCCACAGCTTCCATCAAGTGGGCCACAGTGACCAGGCCAGGGGAGTCAGGCTTCTCATGGGAGAACTCGCAGATTTCTGTGGCTCGCCTGCAAATGTCTAGGCAACGTCGTGCATCTCCAGAGAGGGCCGCTACCTACAACAGGAACATTTCATTCTGAGGTCCCCCCATCTCAGCTCAGGAGAATAACCAGCAGATTCTTTTTTTTTTTTTAATATTTATTTATTTTTTTTAGTTTTTCGGCGGACACAACATCTTTGTATGTGGTTCTGAGGATCGAACACGGGCCGCATGCATGCCAGGCGAGCGTGCTACCGCTTGAGCCACATCCCCAGCCCCACCAGCAGATTCTTGTTCAGCTGAACAGGAAAAGCAATTCTGAGAATGGACTTCTACACAGTTTAGGACTTAGCCCTGCCTGGAAACCTTGTGGATGTATAGGACTAAATTATTAACATCATACCTGGGACTCTAGTTCTAAGTCCAAACCTTTGTCTTGGTTTTATGGATAACTCCACAATGGAAAAGGTAAAAATTCTCAGCCTTATTTATTATTCAGGGAATTTAGTTTAAAAAAAAAAAAAAAAAGAAGAAGAAGAAGAAGAAGAAAGAAGAGTGCCCCCAGAAGCAGCCAGCCAAGGCCAGAGGCTGAGGAGAAGTCTATCTGGAGATAAAGCCAGAAGCTAGCTCCTCTGCAGCATGTGGTTATTTGGGGGGATGGCCCAATCAATGGCTAAGAGAACCAGAATCAAGGGCAGGGGAAGGGAAAAACCCCACAAAGCGGGAGGACCCAGAGGACTCTGTGGTGAAATGAATCAATCAGACCAACCCTGTCCACAGCTCTGCTGTTGCTCCTTCCTTACTCAAGCAGCGAGGTTGAATGGCTCTGATCCCCCTTCTCAGGAACCATCTACTCTCTCCCACAATGACTTAAAAAGTCATGTCTCCCAGGATTTTCAGAATCACTGCAGTCTGCAAGGGCCAGTTAGTTTCTATTCCCAGTATCTCAGCAATCTTCACCATTCATCTGACTACCATCAGACTGCTGGGCAATATCTCTGAAATGATTACCATTTTCCAAAACTCATGATATGCTAAGTTTAAAAAGCAAACTACATAGGCCTATACGTACCCAACACACTAAGACATTAAAAGTAATCATTTCTGGAAAGTAGGGTTATAGGTAGTTTTTAATGTTTTGTATAATATCTGTTTTCAGAACTCAAATTTAAGACATTGAAAACAAAAATCATTTTTCTAGGAACCAGGACAACTTATATCAACTTATATTCTTTTCTTCCTCTAATCTCCAAGTCAATTAGTAAGAATGTCCCCTAGATTTGTCCTCCTTATCACTTTTCTTTCCTCCCGTCACCATCCCTGCCACCCATTGAAACAGCCCAATAGTGGTGAACAGAATGGACAAGAGATGCTAAGAGACCTAAAAACAAAGACAGAAGGGAACACTGGGAGGCAAGAAAACATCCAAAGCAGCTTTCACCCTGAGGATGTCTGTGAACATTGGTGATCTTTTAAGGTTCTTTTTTACCATCACTGGTGCGGGGAAGACAAAGACAAAGCTAGGGCCTACCATCATAGACTCTAATGGGAGACCCTCCATGAACCTGGAGCTTGACCTCCACTACAGCCTCAGTGTAAGCATGAATGAGACTCATCACACAGAAGGAATGGCAGGAGAAATTGCCTGTTTTGACATGGGGTGTTAATGAGTGTGGAGTAAAGTAAACTCCCTGTTTTTCTAACCGCAAGCCTTCACAAGAATTTGGAGCCAAAATTTATGTGGCACCTCCTAAAATCCTCAGTGAAAAATCATTAAAAAATGGTAACAACTGGTGGTGCCCCTAGGTGATGGCTAGAAGTAAAAACAAATTCTAAATGAACTCTACTTCAACTCAGGTCTCCATTAATTTTCAGAAAAAGGAACAACAGGATAGTAGCAAAAGTAAAATACAGGTCAAGGCATTAAAAAAAAGTAAACAAGGAGCTGGGGATGTGGCTCAAGCGGTAGCGCACTTGCCTGGCATGCGTGCGGCCCTGGTTTGATCCTCAGCACCACATACAAACAAAGATGTTGTGACCGCCAAAAACTAAAATAAATAAATATTAAAAAAAAGTAAACAAGTCTATACGTGCATCAGAATCAGCAGAAATCAGAATCAGACCTACAAAGAAATAAGTATGCTTCTTTGTACATAAATTAAAAAGTAGTCAATCCTCACAAAAGGAAAGTAAGGAGCATTAGAGTAGTAAAAAACAATATAATATTACAACAATGACAGAGATGGAAAAGTGGTGGTGACTTAGACTGGGGAATCCAAGAGCAAACAGACGCGCAACACAATTTAGAAGTTATATTTAAAATCTTCAAAATGGCTGGCCCAGTGGCACACCCCTGTAATCCCAGTGGCTCAGGAGTCTGAGACAAGAGGATCTCACATTCAAAGCCAGCCTCAGCAACTTGGCGAGACCCTGTCTCAAAAATAATATTATACAATGTAGCTGTACATTGTTTTGGAGGCTTTAGGAACTGTAATAAAGAAGGAAATAATAGAAATATTAGAAAAAAATTATAAAATTATCTTTTTTGTTCCTCATATGATTGTATATCTAGAAAATCCTACTAAAAAACCACTAAGATTCATCAGRCACAGTGTTGCATGTCAGTAATCCCAGTGGCTTGGGAGGCTAAGGCAGGAGGATTACAAATTCACCGCCAGCCTCAGCAATTYAGCAAGACCATGTCTCTAAAAATAAAAAGGGCTGGGGATATGGCTCACTGGTTAAGCACAGTGGTTAAACATGGGCTTAATCCCTGGTACCAAAAAATAAACAAACAAACAAACAAACAAACAAACAAATAAATAAATAAATATTCAAAATGCTAAAGAAAACCTAAGTATGGTTGCATATACCCATAATCCGGTAATCCCAGGGACTCCAGACTGAGGCAGGAGGATGTCAAGTTCAAGGCTAGCCTTGGCAATTTAGCAAGTGGTGGGGTAAGGGAAGGGGGTGCACAGGGCTAGGGGGTTAGTTCAGTGGTAGAACATTGCAGGGTTCAATCCCCAGTACTCCGGCACTACAAAACAAAACAAAAATAACAACAAAATCTTCATAATGCTCAGGAGTTAGTAGTACTAGAACTTGAGGTAAAGAGGAATGTTTGGCTAGAAAACAAGAAGACTGGCTGAAAATTAAGAAAAGTTCAGAAAGTTAGGAAAGTAACCTTAAAATGGCCTTGATGAGGAGTCAACAAACTATGTTCCCCAACCACTTGCAAAAGCAAAGTTGGGTAGACTCAATACATAGTTATGTTCTACAAAGCCTACATGTTTACAACTAGAAAAAGTATGCTGACCCAAGGTCCCTCTCTCATTTCATATTGTTGGGTGCACATTAATGGTGTCACAGAGGGAGCAGTATGAGAAAATTTGGGGTCTTTGCAAGGATAAGGTAAAATCTTGGGGCCTGTCTTGGTCTTATTGCAGGAGAGCAGTGTCCCTTACCCAAAACAGATTATTGCATGCATGCTGAAATCTAAGACGTTTCCCCTCTATGGCACCATTCCATACCCCTCACTTCCAGAACGCTGCCCTCTTGGCAAGACATGAGAAGCTAGTCTAGGAAACCAGACTACCCTAGTAGGAAAGAATGATTTTGTAACTGTCCCCAGATTTTGATTCAGCAAACAAGACCTACTTATGTGGTCAAAGCTCCCTATCAGCTTTTCTGKTTTTTTTTGTTTTTTTTTCCTGAAGGGAGGAGAAGAGGCAGGGACAGGATCTCAGTTTATTGGCAGGCCAGCTATTAACTCAAGTGATTCTCCTGCCACAGCCTCCTGAGATGTCAGAACTACAGGCATGTATCTAACTCTAATCAGCTATACTTGAATGAACAAATAAGACATCTGAGGAAAGTCACCAATAATGCAAGACAGATACCAAAACCAACCACCAAAAAGCATCTTGGACGGGGGCTTGTGTTGTGGCTCAAGCAGTAGCGTGCTCGCCTGGCATGCATGCGGCCCGGTTCGATCCTCAGCACCACATACAAACAAGGATGTTGTGTCCGCTGAAAACTATAAAATAAATATTAAAAAAAAAAAAATCTCTCTATCTCACTCTCTCTTTAAAAAAAAAAAGCATCTTGGAGGAAAAAGGGAGAAAATCATCTCAAATAAAGATGATTAAAAGGGGGGAAGGATCATTCAGAGAAAAAAAAGAAGTCTGAGAATATGCACAAGAGCAGAAATGAATAATTCTACCCATAGAGGGGTCAGGGGTAAACTCTGAGGAACTCTTTTCCAAAATGCACAGCCTGKAGTCAGACATCATGTATACTCACCTAAACCAAGCACCTGATTCAGGACCTAGTTCCAAGTAGGAGACACTGGCATGTACTGCTGCTGTAGCCACTCAGGGTTCAGATAATTTTGGGCAAAACAAAACTAGAAATAACTCTATGATTCTTTTAAGTGCTGAAATATTTATAGATGTATGGTCTTTTTCTTTGAGCTTAAAGCAGATATTTGGCCCACTTTGTTATCAGCAGCCTGAGAACAGTCTGTGGTTGAATCTAAGTTGGCATTCTCCTCGAGAGCTTGGAGGACAAAGATATCCAACAACTCACATCTCCTAGAGTGTGTGCTTTGCTGCAAGTCAGTCAGGATCTCATCTTATTCTCCCAATGACCTTGTGATGTAACTATTATTATTCCCATTTTTCAGAGGTGAAAATGGAAGCTCTTAGTAAGTTTCCTACAACTTCCCCCATAAAMTGTTAGAGTCAGAATCCAAGTCAGATTCACCTACCTGACTATACCATCCTTTTAGTTATGAAAAACTGCTTGCTCCCTGAATCAATTAATGTTTGTATATAATCCCACAATACTCATGGCCTTCTAAGTACTCACACAACAGGAATCCTTAAGAACTTTGTTTCTTTCTTGGTATTTATTTTATAGGACTTCCTAAAGTTTTCTTCATCCCTGGAATACCCAGCACAGAGCCTTGCCCATGGCAGGTGATCAGCAAGACTTGCTGACTGGTTTGTGGGTATACCTAGGAGTTCCCCAAAGTAACTTACCTTCCTGGCTACCAGCTGGATGGCATCATCCTCAAAGGCCTTTAAATGCTTCAGTCGGGACACTAGGATCTGCTGCAGCTGGCTGTGAGTATAAGGCTGGAAGGACAATCTGGTAAGGCCCTGGGGAGCAAAGAAGATAGGGGAACAAAGTCATTGACTGCCCATTGATTATGCAGGTGGAAAATCACTCTCAGAACTCCAAACCTAATTCCCAAGCCCACACAACAATTTACACATTTCCTCCCAGGACTACTGCTGCTTCCTGCTACTGTTATTACTGACAATGGCCAATGGTATCCTATAGTGCAGTAGTTCTCAAACTACTTTTTTGTTTTGTTTAAGATCCATTTATTGTAACAGAATCATTTGGAAATAGATGCAGAGGTGGTTGACTCCATGTGGCCAGGAGGATCACAGAACCTATGCTATGCACTGCACAGCCTGGGGCATCCCTTATCATGTGACATTGTGCTTCCTGCTGACCTGCAAAGCCCAGGGAGAGTGTGAGTCTATGTGGCTCATTCTTCTACTTCAAGTACCTAACAGGTATCAGGTGGTAAGTGCTTAGTTATTGTTAAAAATAAACATCTAGGACTATATGCAGTTTAAAAGTAAACAAGTCAAGTGTGACGTGGTTGCAAAGGCCTGTAAACCCTGAGGCAGGAGGATCCCAAGTTTGAGGCAGATTGGGAAACTTAGACCCTGCCTCAAAATAAAATAAAAATGGGTAGGGATATAGCTCAGTGGTAAAGTGCCCCTGTGTTCAATCCCAGATCCTGCAAAAACAAATGAAAAACTGCACAGGTCAGCAGAATGTCAAGAAATGATATTTGTAGAAAATCATGCAATGGCCTTTCATTCGGACATAGAAATTATGACAAGCAAAAACTATATTTCTTGACTTTTTGTAAGAATATTCTGAGAACTACCTTGGACCTACCAGTCGGCTTGACACCCGGTTCATCATGATCCGCTCTGGCAGATCCATGGTGTTGGCAATGGCCAGGACTACCAGTTGGGCCTCCTTATGAGTGGGCCAGTCAAAGAGATTGTACATTATGTCTTGTTTGTGAGTCCACAGAAGGTCAAGCTGCCAGGGAAAAGGACACAGACATGGGGTTCATTAGAGAGTCAGGATCCTAGAGTGAAGATCTATGACACTCTTTAGTTGCCCAGGTCACACCAGCAAAACAGCAAAGAAGTCAATGAACAGGCCTAGATGAATGCAAAAGGGATCCAGCACTTTCTCCCAGCCAGCACTTGCTTCTGGGACATCATAGTTAAATACTGCCCAATTCTTCTCCAGTCCTCCCAAGGGCACCTCACCTCATCCACAAGCAGAACAGTAGTTTCCTGAGGGGACCTGCCAGTGCAGAATCGCTTGGCTAGCAGTTCTGCAGCATGGTTTGCTGTTGCCTTCTGGCCTGTCAGCTTCTGCATTGAGGAAAAACATGTGGTCAATGGTAAGAATTTTATTCCCCTGGGATAAAACAGGAAGCTATTTAGTCCAAGGACTTCAGTGTACTATTCTCTGCCTTCCATTTTAGTCTTAACCGTAAACTGAAAGGATAGGAAAAGGCACTAGGAAAAGGCATCTAAAAAGATAAAAACTGTGTGTTTAATATGCAAACAAGTGCCAGTCTCAGTGCCAAATGCCTGTAATCCCAGTGGCTTGGGAGGCTGAGGCAGGCAGTTTGCAGGTTTAAAGCCAGCCTTAGCAACTTAGCGAGGCCTTGTTTCAAAATAAAAAATGTAAAAAGGCCCGGGGATGTGGCTCAGTATATAAGTCTCCTGGGTACAATCCCTGGTGCTAAAAAAAAAAGCAAACGAGTCACACACTGATCTCAGAAGCCCATTGTGCACCATTCTATATGTGGACATTACCTGCTCCAAAGTCACAGCTAATGAACAAAAGAGTGAGGCCTGAATGGTAGACTGCCTCTCATCCCTATTCCATGGCTTGTCATCTACTTCCTCAGAGCTAAAGACTTTCTTCAGGTTTATTCTTTATCCAGCTCCTAATCTTAAGGAAGCTACCGCTGCTACCACTACATGAAGAACAATGCCTGTACATCACAAACATGAAATACACAAAATTAAGCAAACCTTTCCTTTAACATGTGCCAGTAGGAAACATTATTTTCCAAAAAGGCCAGAGAGCTTTGCTTACCTGCAAGATTTGCACATAGACTTGGTGGGGCTCTGTCAGTTTCATGCCATTGACCTCAATGTATTGAAAGCGAGGAACATCGTCTGTTTGGGCTGCCTGCTGTAGGCAGCGTATCACCTCATGCACAGTGGCAGTCTTTCCTGTTCCAGGGACCCCAGAGATATACATGCACCTAGAGCAAAAAAGGAACACCGATAGGCTGTCTTTGCTGGCTACCTCATGCTAGGAAGCACTGAGACCCCAAAGATTCCCTGGATGTGGGGACACTTAGGACCATACTTGAAAGCTGGTTGGAATAGACCATTAAATCATTCATTCTATAAATAATGCTGTATGCAAACCACCCACCTACAGATGACTAGTTTCATTTTTTCTGAAAGGCAGAAATCCTACCTTTTTTAGTGTGGTGCTGGGGATTGAACCCAGAGCCTTGTGCATGCGAGGCAAGTACTCTACCAACTGAGCTATATCCCCAGCCCAGAAGTCCTATTTTTTTTAAGATTTTTTTTTTTAATATGGACACAAGAATATTTTAACTTTATTTATTTGCTTTACATGGTGCTGAGGATCGAACCCAATGCCTCCCATGTGCAAGGCAAGTGCTCTGCTGCTGAGCTATAACGCCAGCCTCAGAAATCCTACTCTTATAGAACAAAATAAAAGCTGCTTCAGAAGCTAGGGGTTTCAGCAATGGTTCCCCTTATCCTCCTGACCCTGGGTAAGCAGGCCCTCTTTCCCAGATACTGCCTGCCTCAGCACAACTTACCCTCCAGTACGGTCAAGGAGTTTGCTTTCCACAAAATTGTAGATTCCCTGGAATTCCTGTTCCCGACAGGGAAGAGATTCAGGAACAGCAGAAACATGTAACCTACAATTGGTAGTAAATGGAAGAAAAAGAGGATTTTGGAAGCATTTCACCACCTACTCAATAATAAATGAAAACCACCTGTCTAGCATTCTGTGGGAAAATGGAATCACAAACTCAAAGGGATTCCTTCGTTCTCAAATTTCTCCATAGACTTCCTTTCCCAACCAATCACTCCAGTGGATCTCATGTTACAAGAGTTTCTGATTACTTAATTTCTTTCTTTCTTTCTTTTTTTTTTTTTAAAGAGAGAGTGAGAGAGGAGAGAGAGAGAGAGAGAGAGAGAGAGAGAATTTTTAATATTTATTTTTTAGTTCTCGGCGGACACAACATCTTTTGTTGGTATGTGGTGCTGAGGATCGAACCCAGGCCGCACGCATGCCAGGCGAGCGCGCTACCGCTTGAGCCACATCCCCAGCCCATCTGATTACTTAATTTCTGACAGGGTCCAGGCTTTTGCATTTTGAAAAAGTCCCCATATGGTTCTAAAGGATACTAAGAGGTACATCTTGACTAATCAGCTCCTATCCCTGAGAAGATGGTGGCAGTTGACTGGAAGATGACTCCCCCAAGACCCTGTGTCCATGTTAGCTCATCCAGATGCTACTTGACAGGCTTCTTTCTAAACACACTCACTTTATTCTCTACCATTATTATGTATACCAATGACTGCACACTCCCCTAATTTATGTGAAGCAGAGGCCCCACCCTCCTACTCCAAAATAGTACTACCTCAGTCGAGCCTCCTCCAGCATGTTGGATGGCTCTGGGGCCGCCAGGTTTCGACTCCGGATCTGGGGAGTGGCAAGACGCAGTGCTCTAGTCTTGGCCTATATTCAAAAAGAACATGATTTAGAAGGAAAAACAGGGCAAAACACCATCCAGGACACATCACACTGATCAAGTAAAAGAGGAGAAGTGGTGACATCCTCTGTCTTCCTGGCTGCATAAAGTATCATGACTTGCCCCCTCTACTTCACATTACACACCCACTTTGTCCAAACTTGGTCTGTTTTTCTAATTTACACAGTATATTAGAAAAGTACACACACAGTATCAGAATCTGGAAACAGTGTTAATCAAGGGGAAAGAATGAAAAAGTACGGATTAAGCTGGATGTGGTAGCACATGCCTACAACTCCAGCTAACTGGCAGGCTAAAGCAGGAGAAYCCCAAGTTGAAGGACAGCCAAGACAACTTAGCAAGAAGCTCTCTCAAAATATAAAAGGGCTGGGAATGTATCTCAGTGGTAGAGCACCCCTGGGTTCAATCCCTACTACCAAAAAAAAAAAAAAGTAGATATAAGGAAAGAAAAAAAAACCCACTATTTAAAAACAATTTTCTTGAAAGACAAGAAATTTAAAAAATCTCAACTACTATGTCCAAAGAGAGGAGAGAAGAGGAGCTGTAAATTGGGTTTGAGACCTAAGATCTTTTGTTCAGCCTGTTTAAAAATATGGTTAAGCTTTAGTTCAGGACTTCCACAATCAACAACACAGTTATGGAGTAATCTCATCTGATTTTCSCACTACAAACCGAGGATCACTGCTCAGGCTCATGTTCGATCTCCTTTTCTCCTTGCTCCTGGCTGGCTGGGGCAAGCCTGCTTCTGTTCCCTCCTTTTTACTATGTGTGTGCCACTGACAACCATCTCTCCACCTCTGCCTCAGAAAGAAAGCACTTAGACTCTCTGGCTGTTTAAAATCCTATTGGTGGGGGCTGAGGTTGTGGCTCAGTGGTAGAGCGCTTGCCTAGCACATGAAGGCCCTGGGTTCAATCCTCAGCACCACACAAAAACAAACAAACAAAATAAAGGTATTTGTCCATCTACAACTAAAAAAAAATATTAAAAAAAAAAAMCCATAAACTATTGGTTATRGAGAAAATAGCAAAGAATAAGAAAACCTGGCTGAGAAGGTAACAAGAAGCCTGAAGGACTTCTGGTGTTCTTTTTTATTATGCTGAAGGTACCCCATAGTCTGTATACCTTCTTTTTGGTGGGACTCAGGAAATGCAATCATGCCAAAACAAGAGGGAACTGTTGCATGTTTGAGGAACTCCAGGTAAAACAGTCTCCAGACCATATGTAATCTATTGGATTCCCTTCCTTAAGGCTTTTGACTTCAACCCAGGTTCCATCTTAATATGGAAAAAATGACTATCAGCTTTATAAAATGTTGTATTTCTCAATGTATTCCAAACTATTAAGATGCTCTATAAATTAAACTGTTTTATCCAACAGTTCTCAAACATATCTGAACATAAAATGGTCCTTAACATTTTAAAATGTTCTGCTAAAGTCCCTTAGAAAGCAGAAAAGACAGCCATTTCTTCTCTTCTATTATACGGTTCATTATCAACACCTACATGGTGCTCCCAGTTTCTCTGCTATATTGCATTGGACAACAAAACCAACAACATAGCTCATCAGCTCTGGATTCAATTTGCACTGAGCACTAATCATGTGCAAAGCACTCTGTTGGCACTTGCTTGGGGAAACAAAGTTGAGGAGTCAGTTTTTGTACTTCCATCAGGAAGCTTGGCTCTTGGTTATTTGATCCTCGACCTTAAAAGGAACTTGAAATCAAAAATCATTGTAGTCTTGATTCATTTTCAGATCTTGGGTTCACTTGGGTACATTCTTCCTTGGACAATTCAAAAGGTATAGCTTTAGATATGACAGACCTGTGCTCAGAATCCAGATTTTACTATGTGATCTCAGCATTTGCAACCTTTAAACTAACGGACCCTTCACTGGAAAATAAACCCTGAAGGACCTTACCACTTTCTTTGGTGTCTTGGAGGGGTTCTGTATGGATGGCTTCGAGGAAGGCCGCAGGTTTCTGGATGCACATCTGGTATTTCTCCTTGGAAGGGCTGGAGTGAATTCCTCTTCCTCCTCATTGCTTGAGTCTGAATCCTCTGTTTTTGGCAGGAACTCTTCCTCTTCTTGGTCACTTTTATTACTTTCTAAAAACCTGAAAGGTAGGGACATATTATTTTCTCATATTCAGTGTTCAAGCCTAAATAAGAACTCCATAAAAGTCAGTGTGGATTAAGAGGCATKATAGCTTCTCCTGCCACCGGTAACAAAGGATCTGTCCCACTTCTCAGGCACTTGCTTCTGAGACATTCTGCTAATGGTGTTATTTATCTCATTAAGGACCTCAACAACTTTGTGATTTGTATATTAATATTCCTACTTTATAGAGGAGAAACTGAGGCTTAGAAAAATTAAATAACCTAACCAAATTTCACTGATTCAAAACCTCAAATTCAAATCAAGGTCTATCAGAATCAAACTTCATGCTTTTGCATTCCACACCATCAGCAGAGTTGCCGGCAATGCTGGTTATGGGACAATGGGAGGTAGTGCAGTGTTTCTTGTCCCTTTCATAATATGACATTTATGTGGATCTTACCAAAATTCCAGATATGCTATCAACAAATCCACAAATAACAAACAATAGAAAAGGCATTAAAGGATAAGGTCATGGATGTCCTTCAACATTTATGCTTTTTTCGCTACCCAAGGGCAGTCTTACCGTAGATGCTTCCTAATTTGATTCAAAGTCAAGAGAAAACTCCGTCTTCGGACTCGATGGGAAGTAGTGGTAGCTTGATTTTGAGCTTTTGGTTCCTTTACCTTCCTGTAAGATGTCACAGCAAAGTTATGGGAAACAGTTTTGGGAAGCAGGCACTAGAAGATAGTCAGATGAACTAACTGCCTCTTATTCTTTTTCAGCTATCTTGGAAAGAGTTAATCACATTTTGCTAAAAAATGTATAAATGAAACTGAACTCAAACTCAGGGATAAAAGTTTGCCTAAATCTTATCATTTAGATCCAACTTGTCACCTCCCAATTATAGACCAGAACACAGTAATCCCAGTTTCGTCTTTTTGTTTCTGATATATCCATGAATTTACTCTGCACCCAGGTTCAAAGTCAGCAGAAATACATATATATGCATATATATATATATATATATATATATATATATATATATATATACACACACACTCAATATAAAGTATTTATTGTGCAACTTATTGTGAGTTAGGTGTTGGGAGTTTCTATTCAGGAAACACTAATATGTAATTTCTAGCTGGTCACGTTTTCATTTGTACAGTTCATCTACAAATATTATCTAGTGTCAACTTTCAAAGTTTGTTCTAGATGTATTATCTTCTGTTATATTTGAGAATGGTTTCCGATTTTAAAACACCAACATGGGCTGGAGATGTAGCTCAGTGGTAGAGTGTTTACTTAACATGCATATAAGGCCATAGCTTCTATCCCAAACACCAGGAAAAAAAAGAATCCTTAAAATACCAACAAAGTGATTTAAAAATGATTGTGAAAAACTGGCAAAGAACCAACAGCAACTAATAAAATCCTGAACTATGAGGCAATGCAGGTTTGGGAAATATCTTTCTACCACAATGATCCTCAAATGACAACAGGGTATGTAAGAATCATTCAAAGAACATGTCAAACTACAATCCCAGGGCCCTGTGCTTGAAGCCCAATTCACCAGGTATGAGAAGAGGCTTAGGAATCTATTATGCTCCCTGATGATTCTGTGACAGATCTACAACCCACTGATCTAAGTTACCTGACTACAACCCACTCATTTTATAAAATCACACAAAAGATTTTGATTTGCTCCATGGAACAGGGTAAAGTCTCTGGGTCACCTCTTTTTGATGTTTTCTGGTTTCAGAATCACAGAAGACACCAAGGATCTCTGACCCCCTTTGACAGGAGTAAGTCTTTTCTCATCACTGATCTGGGTGGTTTTCAAAGCCGGTACTCGGGTTCTCAGGATCAGGCAAAGTTTAGGTGAAGACTTCTTATCATCCTTGGCACAAAAGAGTTGAGCCTCTCCAGTTTTCTCTGGGGTTTTCCGAGCTACAGAAGACATCTCACTTCTATGTGAGCGAGACCTCTTGGTATGTGAGGTAGTTTCAGAGAAGTCCACTTTTCGCTTAGTTCTTCCTGAAGAATCCAAGGAAGCATGTGAAGTCAGAGGGGACATCCTAGTGTTAGGTGTCCTAGGGAAACCTAAGCCCAAGAGACATCACAGATGTGGGCATGTTAGACTTAGCAATATTCACATTCTCAATCTCATTACAACTAAATTCAGTGAAATTATGCAAAGATTTGTTATCTATACTTTGAATTATTCCATGATTTCTTTCTCTTAGTTAGGTAGCTCTAATTATTTTCTGACTTCTAAATTTCACTAGAGATTCTCCTGCTTAGCACCATAAGTGATGTTTATTTCTTCATGCTGGGGATTGAACCCAGGCCCCTGTGCATGTAGAATGCACTCTACCACTGAGTTATACACACAACCCCTAAAAAGTCAACATCTTTTTCACCCCCGGGTACTGGGGATTGAATCCATGAGCACTTAGCCATTGAGCTACATCCCTACCCCTTTTTTACTTTGAAACAGTGTCTCACTAAACTGTGTACRGTCTCACCAATTGCTGAGGCTGGCCTTAAACTTGTGATCCTCCTGCTTCAGCCTCTTGAACTGCAGGGATTACAGCGTGCACCACCATGCCTGGCCTAAAAAGTCAACTTCTTAGCCAGCTTTTAAGGATAAATGTTCAGTAATCAAGTTTCCCTGATTGTACCAGAACAGTGGTTCTCAACCAGGAGTGATACTTCATACCCTCTATTCCAACGACATAGCATTTGAAGAAATTTATACTGGTGGTGATGTCCCTGAGTAAAAGCGAGGCCCAGATTTTTCTTAACCCAGATTATATCTGCCATTAGAGAAAAAAAGGATTTCTGGGACAACTATCTGAGATCTGTGAACACACAGATCCATGTGGATTTGCCCAGATTTCACCAGGACCACAGGCATAAACCACCCCAGCCATTCACTCAGACACAACTAAACCGTTACAAAGTATGTGCCAGCCACCAGAAGGAAAAAATCGGAATGAGACTCAACCCTGATCCTTATTCACAGAACACTCTATTCTTACTGAGAAATGACGGTACAAGCATCTATAACTTGAAGCAAAATAAGTGTCCTAAATCACCTAGGTACTAATAAAGATGTCTTGTCTTTTGAGACAGACCTTAAGAGAAAGGTAAAATTCCAACAGATGTGAAAAAGGAAGGAGGGGACATGTRAAGAGAACAATGGAGAAACTGCCATGAGTTACAGCAGCAAGGCAGGAAAGCTCTGAGCACAGAGAGCTCACTTGAGTCATGCCCATGGTGTGGGGGACAGGAACTGGCAAGGCTTGAAGAGTGATCTAGTGCTTGTGTGTAAATTGTTATGGAGTCTTTATTCATAATTACTGAAAACTACAATCAATGCAGATGTCCTTACACTGGGAATCACTGTGGTGAAAGGAGTCAGACTCAAAGGCCAGAGACTACGCTTCCAACCATATAATATTCTAGAAAAGGCAAACTATAGAGACATTAGCAAACACATATATGGATACCAGAGACTGGGGCAAGGACTGGCTGACTGCAAAGGGGCATAAGAATATTTTGGTGTGAAACTGTTCTACCTCTTGAAAAAGGTGGTTACATAAATCTATGTATCTACATAAAGGCTTAATCTGCCAAAGGCAAGCATCCCTAATCCAAAAATCTGAAATCTACAATGCTACACATTCTGAAACTTTTAAAAGGTTGACATGACACAACAAGTGGAAAGTACCACACCAAACCTCATGTAATGGGTCACAGGCAAACTGCAGGCACACTACAAGTACTATATAAAACTATCTTCAGTCTAGGCGTATGGAAGGCTTCAACATATGTGAATGTCTAATTATGCATGTGCAATATTCCAAAATCCAAAACACTTCTGGTCCCAAGCTTCAGGTAAGGGATACTCAATCTGTATACACTAAAAAGGGAAATTTTATAGTCTCTAAACTATACCTCAATCAACCTGACTTTAAGGGTTATTTAGGGCCAGATCTTTTTTTTTTTTTTTTTTTGCTTTTCAAAAGCACTATTTTATTTTGTATCACAGAGTCAAATCAAATCGATCTTACACTCATGCGTAAAACTATTTCCACAAGGGATTAGAGAAAATTAAAATCTTAAAGAACAAACAGTGTATTGCTGCTTTAATATATTCATTTATGCTATTTTCTCTACCAAGAAACAATTTCAAATTCAAAATTAGACACTTGCTATGGTTTTCTCACAGATAAAGTGTAAACCTTTCTGTGACCGGGTTATGCTTCATCATTTCTTAAGAAACTCAGCCATTTTTCATCTTCTTTTTTTCCTTCATGGTTTGCTGCTGGCGTTTCAAAACATATTTTTGAAACTCTTAAAGAAAAAAATCCCTGGACTTGGGGTAATGTGTTATGAGTGGTCGGATATTAATCAGGTACCTCTCCTTGTGGTCACAGGCACAGAGTGTTGTGACTAGCAGCTCCATAAAAGTTCCATCAAAGGGATGGTGCTAGAGTAACAAGTTCTGAGTATGAAAGGTGCCACTCCTGCTGGCTGAGGCGTGATGCTCAGCAACAACAGCTGATGAGAAGAATAGTTAAGGGTGCTCCATGACACACAGAATGCAGGTCTTTCTAAGAATGTCCACTAGTCTAAGCATGTCTCTTGTACAGAAATAAAGAAAAAAATCCAATATAGAACTTAACAATAATTAAAAGATGGAGGCAGAAAAGGAGGAGCTCTGAGATGGAGATTCAACCAAGAGATTTTATTGGGGAGCTTCCCGAAGAGGAAGAAAAGGAGAGGCAGAGAGTAGAGAGAGGAGAGAAAGAAGAGGAAGAGAGGAGGAGGGCAGAGAGGAAGAGGGCAGAGAGCAGAGAAGAAGAGGGCAGAGAACATGAGCTTGCAAGCTTGGGCTTAGCTTGAGAAGAAGATTTACATTAAACAGGGATGAGAGGTGGGAGGGAAAGGGAGTGAGAAGGGAATTCGCATGGAAATGGAAGGCGATCCTCAGGGTTACACAAAATGACACATAAGAGGAAAGGAGGGGTAAGACAAGATAATACAAGTGGAAGAAATGATTTACAGTAGAAGGGGTAGAGAGAGAAAAGGTAGGGCCAGATCTTAAAAGTCTTTGAACATGAAACTAAAATTATCCATTTTATTCTTTTTTTTTTTTTTTGGTAAATAAGAGAGTAACTCATGTCTAGATTAATACAAATATGTTTCAAAGTCCTGGCCTCCCTCATACCTCATTCCCTGTCTTTCTGTCTCATCCAAAATATTTTCTTCCTCTAATTGTGTAACTGTATCTAAATTCCTTGCCATAACTTTCAAGATCCTATATATTCAATAGTCAAAAAATACTACAATAATTTCTGAAGATGATATTACACATTATTTGTTTTTTCCATTTTTCAAATGTGTTGTATTTATATTCAGCTCCTAAAACATATGCTGTATAAAGAGTCCCAAAATACAACTTAGTAGGATCCAGTGGTGCACACCTGTAATCCCAGTGACTCGAGCGGTCAAGGCAGGAAGATTGGAAACTCAAGTTCAGCCTGGGCAATTTAACAAGATCCTGTCTCAAAATAAAAAATGAAAAGGGCTCGAGATGTGGCTCAATGGTTGAGTATCCCTGGATTCAATCCCTAGTACCACAAAAAAAAAAAAAAAAAATCTGAAATCTGGCAAAATTCAAAAGAATTAATGGCATATAACAAGATAGTCTGAGCTCTCAGAACAGCCATGAAGTAACTTTCAGGTTCACTATAAGGGCAAAAAGCAGGTCATAAAAGAATATATCCGGTGTGCTATCCTATTGGGTAAGAAAGAATGTATGCTCGAGCTGGGGGTGTTGCTTAGTGGTCGAGCACTTGCCTAGCATGWGTGAGATTCTAGGTTTAATTCTCAGCCCCACATATAAATAAATGAATAAAATAAAGGTCCATCAACAACTAAAATATATATAAAAATAATTTTAAAAAGAATGCACGTTCATATTCATGTACACATGCATGTGTTATGTATTTAAAATCTGCTAATGTACATAATAAACCAAGAAGTAACAGATTAAATCAGAATGGGAAAAGCCCTAAAATTAAATATAAACAGAAATAAAGAACCAACCTGCATATTACCAATAACAATTTGTTTTTCAGGAGAAAGAAAATTAATCAAAGTGTTTTTATTCATTCTATGGGATATGTTCCAAAGGCATAGAAAACCACAAATAAATTTTTAAGTTTGTGTTTACTTTGGTGGAGGCATTGGTATAGCACTTGTAGAACTATTTTACTATTTTGTGTGTATTAAGATTACTTCAGGAACTAGGATTCTTTCTGAAGGAGAACAGATATAACATGGAAGATGAGAAGGTCCCTGTAGTTCAGATTAGAAGTATCAGTATGAATTGAAGAGTATTAACATGTGTATGGCTCCCTAGCTGTTCCACTGAGGACCTAGAAGCAGATCTTCTCTGCTATAGGGCTCTTGAAGAAACAGCTGATTTCAGGGCTCAAAATCACTGAATCATTAAGGAAATGCAAATCAAAACCATAACAATAAGACAATATGGCTAAATTTAGAGGACATTACACTAAATGAAATAAGCCAGGCACAAAAATATACTGTATGATCTCATTTATATGATGAATCTAAAAGAAGTTGAATTCATAGAGATAGACAGCAGAATGATGGTTACCAAAAGCCAAGCAGGTGGGGAGCAAGTGAATGCGTAGGTTTTGGCAAAGGGTACAAAGTTTCGGTGAGACACAGGAATGACTTTTGAGATCTACTGAATAGCAATAAATAGCAATAATAATTCATTGTATATTTCAAAATAACCAATAGCAAATTTCAAACATATCAGAATAATAAATGTTAGGTAAGTGAGATGAAAGACGTATTAGTTAGTTGACATAACATGGTTGTACACATAAAACATCACATTTTACCCCATAAATGTAATACGGTTAGCATATCAATGAAAAATAATTTGAATTTTTAGAAAAGAAAAACTATCCTCCATGATGAGATAGCACTTCATATATTTTAGGGTAGCTGCTATTAAAAAAAATCAGAAAATTATAAGCATAGGTGAGTACATGGATAAACTGGAACCCTCCCACATTATATGTGGGAACATAAAATGATGTAGCCACTGTATGACAGTTCCTTAAAAAGGAAAGAATTATCATATGATCCAACAACCCCACTTCTGGGATACCCAGGAGTATTGGAAGTAGACTCTTAAAGAGATATTTGTCCTATTGCTTATAGCAGTGTTACTGCAAGAGCCAAAGTGTCCATAGACAGAGGAATGAATAAAACATGATACATACATATAATGGAATATCATTTGGCATAAAAGGCAAGGAAATTCTGACACATATTACAACACGGATGACCTTGAGAACATACTGGTAAGTAAAATAAACCAGTCACAAAAGGAAAAGTCCTGTGGTTCTACTTTTGGGATTATCTAGAGTAGTCAAATTCTTAAAGCCATAAAAGAGAATGGTTTCTAGGGGCTAGAGAAAGGGGGAAGGATTGGAAGTTAATGTTTAATGGGTACAGAGTTTCAAATAGAAGATGACGGTGTTGATTGCACAATAATGTGAATGTACTCACTACCATTTAAAAATGATAAAAATGGTAAAATTCACATTATATATATTTTAACATATGTCCAACCAATAYCTGGCCTATTGCTGCACTAATTCAATACTCTTATATGAACTAATATTTTATAAGTGTTCCTTCAGCCCCAGTATGCCCTGAGAACACACTTACTGCAGAGATCCAGCCTCTTCCTTGCAGTGGGGGCAACAGGATGCACAGGCGTTGGGCGAGATTTAGAGGCAGAGTGACTTGATTCAATCCTTTTGGCCACTTGTTTTGCTGTGGTTGAAGCAGGGCTTTCTGTGTTCTTAGTCATGGCTTCCACAGGCTTCCGGCATTTAGGGCTGCCTTCTTGTAGTTTCTCCAACTCTGCAAATAGTTCTGGGGACAATGGTCTGAATTTCTTTTCATTCCAGGATAGTTTCACGAAAAATATTTTCTCATTTTTCAGACCCACAGGTATCACTTCATCTGGAGCTAAAGCCACTACCTGAATTTAGGAAGTATACATGAACAGGAAAAGATGAGCCAAGGAAGACTGCATCAGAGCTATGATTAAAAAACATTAAGCAAACATCTCTACCTGTAATGTTATCTTTCCAATCTAAAAAAGCAGATATTGCATAGCATATTAATAGACAACTGAGCACTTATTTAATTGTTTGAAAGACACCAATGAAATGTATAAATTACTTTCATTTTTAAAAAGTTTATTGGCTTTACCTTTTCATTTCTGTTCTCACTCTAATTTGAGGATGCATCACTTCACTCCTAGATAATTCCAGACTTCACATAGCTGATATCTAAATCCTCTATCACTTTCCTTTTCTCCTCAGCCAAATTTTCCCACGGGAGTTTCTGTAAATATGTTCCCCTGCTCAACAATGTTCCTCAGCATGGCCTTGCACCACTAATGGAGCTTGGCTTTCACAGTTCTGCTCATTCCCACCCAACATCTCCTGCCTAAACACTGCCCTGCACTCCATCCTTCCAAATCTACCCATCCTGCAGCTTCAACTTCTATACCTGCTCTTCTCTTCTTTATTTAACTTGGACATTGATTACTACAGTCATGCCAGACCCAGTCTTCCAGCCCATCCATTAATCCAACCACCTAACCATAATAAAAACCACACTTCTCATCCTGATCTAATCCCACTTTAGGGGACTGAAGTAGTCCAGGAATAAGCCATATATTTAGTCTCCAAACTAGTGTCCTGCTTGGCCTACAAATGAGCAGCTCAATAGCTCCTGATTTATTATAAAATCCTATAACACAAATTTGCCTGTAGCAACTAGCACCCTTTGAACTGATTTACTCAAGTCCTTATTTATCAAAGCAGATTCAGCCTCACAATGCCTTACACCTGCCACAATCATAGCTAAATATAATTTTCCATATTTGCTAATTTCTGTTCATCCCTCAGGTCATAACCCAAATGTCACTTCCTCTACAAAGTTCCTAACACATGACATGTGCTCTAAATAAATATTTGTTGAGATGAAATAGGTAGAAAAACAGAAAAAATGATAGGATAAAATTCATTCCCATGGGGCAAATTAGAGCCAGTAAATTTCTGAGGTCATGCAGTTTAGAAGGTAGACGGAAGTAAGCTTCAAGACAGAAATGGGATCAAAGCACCACCTACCTGAACAGAGCCAATGATGGTCTCAGCACTAATGTTGCTGTCACAGGCAGGGTAGTCATACCAGAATATCTCCCGCGCATCAGGCTTCCGTCCCAACAAGTGCTGTTTATGGGCAGGGACTTCACAGAATCGGACAAACCACTGTACTCGAGCACGTTTTTTGGAATGAAGTTCAGAATCTAGAATGATCAGGTATGAAGGGGAGAATTAATAAAATATGAGAACATTTTATTAAGTACTTCCTATGTGCCAGTTCCTGTGATAAGCCCTCAACTATTGAATTCCATACCCATAATAACCCTGCATGTAGGTACTATGTCTTTTACAGGCAAAGAAATCAAGTTTCAGGGACCTTAAATAATTTGTCAAAGGTCATTCGATCCACCAACTACATTCAAGCTGACTCCACCCACATTCAAGCTCTTCTCAGGTTGTTTCATTTCCTAATGGTGTTATCACTGGACAAGGAATTACAAAAGGGATTTGAAAGGATCTACTCTAAACACAAACACTGACTAGTGGATCAATTCTACAAATTGGTAATTATAAAAAAAGCACCTCACAGCAGGAAGGAGAAAAAAAGAATCCTAGCAGGAATCAGAATAGTGACCATGGGGATGACTTAGCAATCACTGGCTTGTAATCTTTAGCTTTATCATTATAATACACCATTAATATCACTGTAAGGGCATACATTCAATAGTATCACCATCACCAACCTCTCTTCTAAACTCTTTCCAGAGAAACTAAAGCCATCCAATGGAGCAGCACACAAAAGGAAATCTAAAACCTCCACACAAAACCCCACATTTCTGCTGATGTGCTCCCCCTGGTGGATTTCAGTTGCATTGTTTTTTCTTCATAACTTGTCAAGTATCTCCCCTGTGTAAATAAAAACATCCTTATCCATTGGCTGTATCCATTCCTTTTCTTAATAAATTGCCACAGGACTATCTAACTCATGCTATTCCTCTTCTAAATCCCTAGGAAGAAGTAGTTTTGTGTAGTTTCTTTTTCTTTCTTTATTTTTAAAGTAACATGTTTTATTAATTTTTTTAATGTGGTGCTAAGGATTGAAACCAGTGCCTCCAACACACTAGGGAGTGCTGCACCACTGAGCCACAACCCCGGCCCTTGTGTAGTTTTAAGTTGTTCTTTCTTCTTAATTCTTCCCTTGGAACCTGGCCAATCCCACCTTCCTGCATGCTCCTGGTCTGCAAAGGGCTCAAGGCTCAGCACTTAATGAGCTCTGACCTTTTCAACCCTATACACAAGTTCCTCTGGAATGTATATAACTGAAGTGCTTTTGTTTTCCTGACTAAACACCAAATGATACACCTTCCTAATCCAACTTACCCCTTAAGGTCCTTGTAAAGATGCACTTGCAAAATTTATTACTAACTTCCTCATCAATTAAAGGATACAAGTATATCACAGTACAAATCACCTATTTTTTTCCTTCCCTCTTTCTCAAACTCATTCTTTCTCTCCATCCTCCAAATCTGCCTTTATGATCACTCTTAGAATTAATGGAAAAGATAGATTCTTGAGTCCTCCAATTCTATTTTACCCACTACTACTGCTATGGTGAGTAAAGAAGTTTTCTAGATGGAAAAGGGAATGGTTGGTGCTAACATGTATAGGGTACTCTGCGCACTGCTGTGAACTAAGGAATCATCAGCCTCTCCTGCTCTTACCTCCAGATTATTTCTATCAGCAACAAGGTTCATTCCAGCCCCAAACTCACCATCTTCAAACAACTCAATCAACTTAGCAATATAGGGGTTTTCTTCATCATGCCCTTCAATCAACACAAATTGTCCAACTTGAATGTGCATCTGAGTCGAACAACCTACTTTCATACATATTTCTCTAGGAAGTAACAAAGAAACATGTTAGGAAATCTTTAAGGGTGGGAAAAGCTCTTCAGATCTTCTGGAACCAGAAAGTGTTCTCAAACTAGAAACTCCCCTAAATAATTTCTCTATGCTGAGCAACTCTCCTACAGGGAAACCAATGCACTCAATTATATTTAAGCCTAGACAAAAATGGGCCAAACTAATTGTTTTAGCATGAATGATAAATATAAAAGTCTTAACACAAACCCTAACTTCCCTCACGTATTGACAAAGAAAAATAAAGGCTTCCCAAGGATGGAGAGCTGCCCAATGATAATACCAAAATTATCGAGCTGGAAAGGACATATTAACATCTTTCATCTTGTTATCATAAAGAGTTAGACAGAACTCAGCTTAAGTAGCTATGACCTTATTTTATTTATCAAATTTTACTAACCAACAACTTTGGCCCATCCCTATTTATTCTATCATCTTCTTCCATCAGACAAACACCCTCCTTACAATCAACACATATCTACATCTCTCAGTCTTCAATTCATGGGAACTAGAATAGGCTGGATCTAAGTTATTAACAGTTTAACTTCGGAAATTGTATTTCCAGCCCAACCACAAGGCCCCATCACTCACTTGTAAGTTTGGTGGTGCAGTTTGCGATCCAGCAGTGGCCTGCCAACCCACGAGTAAGTTTGTCTGATCTTCTGCCTTGTCTGGTAGGGTGCCATGGCTCCTGTGAAAAAGCCTCAACTCTGAATTACCATGGCAAATTCTGATGGATTCTAAGACACAGTCAGCCCCCCTTCCATGAATTCAACCTTTGTTTTCCTGCCCCTGCCTCACCCCACACATTTTAGAGATAGGTAACAATTTCTTTGAGGAAAAAGTAAAGTTCCATGAAGATTAAATATAGGCAATTTGGCATCATTTATGTCTTAAGATATGCCTCATTTCTTCTTACCTAAGGAAACAGGAGGGTCAACATGTACAGAAATACTAGCAACAAGGCACAAGAGGTGTGAAACATCTAACAATGTGAAATGTCTTCACAGTTATGATCCAGATAGGGATTAAAGATAAATGTAGTAAAGGAAACTATTAAATAGTGTCAAGAGCCCAGAGGAACCAACAGAAGTTAGAGGACTGGTTCTTATGGCTATTCAAAAAGGGAAGGATTCCTATAGAAGATTCCTGAACTGAACATGGAAGTTCGTAAATATTGACAAAGACTGAACTCAGTTCCAAGGGATGAAGAAGGTAGGCAAGTGATATTTGGGAGACAGCAATGGGTTTCATCAAGTGTATAATTTCATTTACATTAAAAAAAAAGTTATCAGTGTTACTAAGCTGTACTGGTCTGATAGTTGGGAGTGGCTGTTTCTTTGCAGCTGATAGACCCAGATATGAGTACTGTGAATAGCTGAAAATAAATGCTCATGCTAAAATACAGGYGGGGAAAAGGTACTTTTAGTGATGAAAACAGAAATATGGATGAAAATACAAATATAATCATTTTTACAAAGAATTTGGGCATTACAATCTGATAGTTCTAATAATGATGCCAATCCATTATTTTAAGCAACTTAAAAAATAAAACTTTCCTCTGAATTTCATGTTTTCCTTATAGAGCTAAAATTTGACAAAACTGAGTTAAAAAAAAAAAAGCCAGACCAACAGAATTATTCTGAATTAATGATTACGAGACCAAAATTTTAGTTTAAGTTGAAAACAACATTCTCCTTCAAAAATTAGTTTCCTAGAACTCAGTGGCATTTTATCCTGCATTCTATTGGGGAATATTTGCAATCTAAGATTTTGTGTTTTTGGAAGTTTTTTAACTTTTGAGGGAACTAATCCAAAAAGGAAATATTGAGTCATTAACAAATAAACTGTTTACAAAAGATACATGAAAGATCACTTTAAGTAAATTAAGAGTATCAATCTAATTTTTCTTTTGTAGTTGTAGATGGACAGAATGCCTTTATTTTTTTATGTGGTGCTGAGGATCGAACCCAGTGTGCCTCGAAAGCTAGGCAAGCGCTCTACCACTGAGCTACAACCCTGACCCTCTCAATGTAATTTTAATGAGGCATAGTGTGAAAATGAATAAAGAGCAAGGAAAATAGAGAGAGCAAAACCAACTGGAAGACTTGCCCAAGTAAAAAGTAAATTTGCATTCATAATATCAAAGTATCTTTTGGTCAAAATTAGTAAACGTGTTTGAATCTAAATAAATGTTTAAGGAAATACATAACAAATTTACCTTCAATATGTTTCTTCTGATGGATGACGTAACACAAAACTTTCAGAAATTAACTTGGAAATGTTAACCTTTTCCACAATGAAGTCAGATAAAATGTGCTATTGAGATACAAAGAAAACACCCAAGTAAATTGCAGTGCTCACTAAGCTCTCATTAAAAAAAAAAAAAAACGGGGAAATAGCATCTACTACTTCCTTATAAAATCAGTACTTCTCAGCAAACCTTCTACAATTCTCAAATAATCTAACTGTAAAATATATAGCCTAATTTTTCACTTTGACTATGACAACTTATTTTATGTGCACAATAATCTCATTTTTTTCAAACAAAAAACTAGCATAGGGAAAGAACTATGAAATGTATACCAAGAGGGCTTTAAATTCATGCTCAATTATTTTAAATCTAGACCATATTTTAGTTTACTAAAGCAGATATCATCTTTCAAAAACCAAGTCATGGTAAAAGTCTCCTTTACTAGGAGACCAAGAGCCATACTTGATGAGACCAGAATAATGTGTGCACCATAAGGTGTATAATTCCACTTTCATTAAAAAAAAAAAAAAAAAATTATTAGTGTTACTGGTCTGATAGTTGGAAGAGGTATGTGATTTACCCTAGGCTGAGGAAGCAAAGTTACTGGAAGGACTAGGACCATATAACCTGCCATTCCTCTACCACTATGCCACATGCCTATTCCCATCATCAAACAAACCAAGTTTATTAGTGCCCTCAGACTATGTAACTGCTGTTCTCTTTTCCTGCATTACAGGGGTGGCTCAGGTCTCAGCTCCGATGAAACTCCCTCGGAAAGGCTTTCACTGAATACTCAGTGGGAAAGTTACTCTGCCATCATGTTCTATTATACCATCCTATTATGACCATCATATTATTTTCCTATTTGTTGTGTTTCTCACATTTGAATGTTAAATTCCAAAGAATAGAAACCTTGAGACCTTCTCTTTATTATTCATAACTGCATTAGTAATCCTTTGTCAGGACTAGGCATATAATAGGTAAACAAATGAAGGATGGAATTTTAAAAATCACCAGAACAAGCACGGCACTGTGATGTATCCCTATAATCCCAGTAATTTGGGAAGCTGAGGCAGGTAGATTACAAATTCAAGGCCAGCTGGCAACTTAGTGAGATGTTATCTCAAAGTAAAATAAAAAAATTTAAAGGGCTGGGGATATAGCTAAGTAGTACAGTACGGAGGTTTAATCCCCAATACCACAAAATAAATAAACAAATAAACAAATAAAAGATAAATCAGAGCCAAGCCCAGTGGTGCACAACTATAATTCCCAGCAACTCTGGAGGCTAATAATAATAATAATAATAAATCAAACAATTAGGACCACAGCAGCTGTGGTGAGAATGTAGATCAGCCAAAATACTTACATATTGCCAAAGGGAATGTAAGTGACACAACCACTTTGGAAAATCAAATTTTCTTAAATTCTGAACATATGCATAACCTTTGGCCCAGCAATTTCAACAGAAATACATAATATCATCAAAAGACATGAACCAGGGCCAGGCACGCAGAGAAGCTTAGGAGGCTGAGGCAGGAGGATCATGAGTTCAAAGCCAGCCTTAGCAACTTAGTAAGGCCCTAAGCAACTCAGCAAAACTCTGTCTCTAAGTCAGAGGGGTGGGGATGTTCAGTGGTTAAATGCCCCGAGTTCAATGCCTGGTACCCCCCACCCAAAAAGTCAAGAACCAGAATATTCATAACAGCACTATACAGTGATGAAATTAAACCAACTACAACTATATAGACAACAAAATTACATGAAGCCAAGGAAATCAGACACCAAAGGTAAAAAAGTCCTGAAATCTGCTGATTTCCTTATGCTGCATCTTCAGAAGAACTCCCCATTATTTTAACTTTTCATTGAATTACATATAGAAAAGTGTATAAATGAGAAATACACAGTTCAATCAACTCATTGCTCTTTCTCACCTTCCACCTAAAACTTTATCTCACCTACCATCAGCATACAAATTTCTCAAGAAAAATGGTGAGTGGACTGGAGAGGCTGGTCTGACTTGGTTTAGAAAAGGCTTTGGTTTCTAAAGATATCAGACACAGATGTCAGATATTAGAAATGTGAAATATGCACACCACTCAGTCTAGGAGCCACATTCAAGGGAAACAGATAAAGGAGTTGCTATAAAAAATTTTGAGCCAGTATGGAAGATTGAGACAAAACTCGTTTTTTGTAGACTAGGGATTGAACACTTGGCCTTATGCATGCTAGGCAAGTGCTCTACCACTGAGACACACCCCTAACCCTTTTTAAATTTAGTTTGAGACAGGATCTCACTAAGTTGTGCAGGGTGGACTCCAGGTTGTGATCTGACTTTTTCAGTTCCCAAGTAGCTTGGATTACAAGTGTATGCCACAATGCACAGCCTGAGCCAAAACTATCTCATTTAATTCTTATGATAACCCTAGAAAAATATCAGTACACAGTAAGTGTTCAATAATAAATATTTCCTAAATTAAAGGTATATATGTTAGTATCAAGGTGAAAACTACTGTTCAATTTTATACAGGATAGCACAGCCTTAACTCAAGACTCTAAACATCCAGATTCCATGACTGTGCTCTTAAATGCTTCACTTTACAACACACAGGGATTGTAAAGTGAACTGCATAATGTCTATGAGAGCTTACTTCTGGTGGCTTATAACAGTAAGTCAGGCTTCCTAGTCATTGAGTAAGAAAAGGTCAACTGGCCTTCAATTCCCTCATTCACAAAACACAAGCAATAGAACCTTCCTTCCTTTTGGCTAATCTTATTTATTAAGTACCAATTGTGTGCCAGGCACTATTCTAAGATTATTAGTGAGAAAATGCAAAATTATAAATCCACTCTCTTACATTAATTTGTATTATTTTTAATATAACTTAATATTTTGGAACTCACAAGTCATACAAAATGTTGCAAATAAATTCCAGGGAATTCAGAAAACTTCTAAAGTTCACATCCGGCCGTCTATTACAGTTTTAAAAAGGTTGCAGAGAAACTTGTTAAACCACGTTCTCACAATGGGGAAATGCCATTGGCATTCAAAAACTAATACAGCAGAAAAAAGGATACCATTATTCATATTTTACAGACAACTAAAACCAGATCTAATCATTGCACTTTTTCTTTGAAGTACTGGGAATTGAACCCGAACATGCTTTACCACATCCATCCACCCTTTTTATTTTTTATTTTGAGAGAAGGTCTCACTAAATTGCTTGCGGCCTCATTAGGTTGCTGAGGCTGGCCTTGAACTTGTGATCCTCCCGCCTAAGCCTCCTGAGTTGCTGGGATTACAGTCTTAAAATACCGCATCCTGTTTAATCATTGCACTTTCACAAGTAGCCCGGATAAGGATCTCGCACCTCATTCAAGTCCACTACTTTTCCCAATTGTCACATTAAAAGGCCCTTCGGTTCCAGGCTGAATTCGAGGAAGCAGAAAGGGTGCCATTACACTTCTCTCCTGGAAAGAATGTGGATGGGAGCCTATAGTTAAAAGCTGCTCATCTAGAGAAATCTGGGTAGGAGCCTAGGCATCTTAGCCACGAAAAATGACCTAGACAAATCTCTGGAAGCAATCGCTACATAGGCAAAACGAGTAAATAGCATCTGATCTGTCTTCCCTGTAGCGCTTGCTACACTATGGCTCAAGAAGGAGATGATTCGAGGAAACGCAGATGGAAGTAAAGGCTCAGACCATTTCTGAGAGTCTGGGATAACTGAGGGTAGAATGCACACGCTTCTCAGGTGTGGGTTTCTGGCTTCCCCGCTGCAAATTCTTACTCCCTAGCAGAGCAAGAACCCTTTTAGGAAACGGGGCGTCGGAAACAGGGCCACTCCTAGCAGGATTAGAAAAGTGCCTGGGCACTGAATCGGCTTTCGGTGCATGTCTGATGAATGAATCAATGAGTGAGTCTGCAAAGAACAACACCCATAGTTCGAAGCTGAGGTCACTCACCTGTCCCCCAGGCCGCCACATTCACCGGGCGCTAAAGTTTCCTCGGGCTGGTCGTAAGCCTTCTGCTTCTCACCTCCCGTACTCTGGGAGCTCCGGGCTTTGCAGCAGCTCTGACCTGCCCCACCTGGATTCTTCCTTTACAGCCACAGGCTCCACGCGGTAGCCAAAGTTGGTCCTGGATTGGAATCGAAAGAAGCGCGAGAAAAGAAAATTTCGCGCCAAACGGCATGACCCCGCCCCCAGGCTATTGCCGTAGCTCGGCGTCAGTGAGCTCCGCCCACCTAAGGGGCGCATGACGAATATCCGCCAACGTGCCGCGGCCATCATTGATTCGATCGGCGCGCATTACACGGAAAAGTTTCATCAAGCAGCCGTTTCCGGTTCCGAGATCGTCGCCAAAGCAGTTTAAAGAGATTTCCTTCACCTTTCTCCGTCCCTTTCAATTTTTTTAAACCGGATGTGACGCATTAAAGGACCCGACGGAAATAGAACTAAACGCATTCTAAAATGGCGAACCGTACAGTAAAGGATGCGCATAGCATCCATGGAACCAACCCTCAATATTTAGTGGAGAAGATCATTCGGACACGAATCTATGAATCTAAGTACTGGAAAGAAGAGTGTTTTGGACTTACCGGTAAGCAAGAGCGCGCGGATCTCCTCTGGACTGTCTTGTGGCCCGTTTCTCCAGACTCGGTGCCAGTAGGACCAACTCTGGCGGTGGTACCAGAGAGGTGTATGTCAGTCATCCAGAAAAAGCGCCTGTTGTGTGTCTTGACTAGTCTTGAGCATTGAGGACACTAATGAATCTGATGGGATCTTATTATATTCTGAAATGCTTCTTAGTTGAGACGTTCCATTTTGACGATAGCCTCCTGGGTTACAAATAGTTTTAAACTCAAGGAGCCCAGATATAATTCTTTGCCATAACTCCCGCAGGTCTTAAACGAACATCCCCATGCCCAAAACCCATAGTCTTGACTGTCCTTAAATCTTCGTCAGTTCTAGTATTTCCATGATCGCGTCCTCTTGAGAGAAGTCTTCTAGGTGGTCTTCAAATCTTTTTTTTTTTTTTTTAATTCTGGCATTAAATCTTTGTACTGTGGCACTGGCTGTGGGCCTTGAGCAAGTAAGTCACTTAACCTTTCTTAGCCCTCATTTTTCTTACACGGAAATAGGGACAATGCTGGAACTTAATCGGTTTGTTGTAAAGATTAAATGAGCCAGGGGCTCATACCTTGTAGTCCCATTGACTCAGGGGGCTGAAGCAGGAAGATGGCAAGTTAGAGGCCAGCCTGGGCAACTAATTTAGCAAGACCATGCCTCAAAATCAAAGGAAAAAAAGACTGGGATAGAGCACTTGCCTAGCACGTGTGAGGCCTTGATTTGGATCCCCAGTACTGCTCCCCCCCCACACACACACAAAAAAAAAAGATTAAATGAGGTAATATGAAGTGCTTAGTAGAGTACCTGGCTTGTAGTAACCTTCAGTTTGTATTAACTGTTGTGATTATTATTACTATTACTAATGTGCACATTTATTTTAGTTTTTTTCATTTGTTGATGGTCACAACGCCTTTATTTTTATGTGGTGTTTAGAACCGAACCCAGTGCCTCACACTTGCTAGGCAAGCAATGGACCACTGAGCTACAACCCTAGACCCCTAATATTGAATTCTTGATGACTATGTAGAAGCTACAAACCTTGAACTATTTTCAACTCCAAGAAGAAAAACTTAAGGCCTAATATGTTGGGATGTCACTCTGATTATTTTTCTTTCTTTCTTTCTTTTCTTTTTTTTTTAGCTGAACTTGTAGTAGATAAAGCCATGGAGTTACGGTTTGTGGGTGGCGTCTATGGAGGAAACATAAAACCAACTCCCTTTTTGTGTTTAACCTTGAAGATGCTTCAGATTCAACCTGAAAAGGATATCATTGTAGAATTTATAAAAAATGAAGACTTCAAGTAAGTGCAATTTTGACTAACATAAAAGCTTCAATTTATATTCAAATTATATTCAATTTCAATTAAAAGGTTCAAAGTGAGGCTTTAGTTAAGTTGGGTGAACATGATGTTTCCCATTTGCATAGAGAGTTCCATTCTAGCTTTTTGCCCTGAATTTGTATTTTGCATGTTATATTAACCTTCTTTATTTTCTCAGTAAGCTCCCCATCACCCCTGCCAGTTTTGCACATTAACTGAATATTTCTTAAGCAGAACCGATTGCCTAATACATTGGGAGGTATAGATATTCAGGGGCAGAGAAAACAACATAGGGTGATAGTTAAGAGGTGTTGTATCTGGACTCCTATGCAGACTTTGTTACTCAGTAATTGTGACTTTGAAGACATTCCTTAATTTTCTAGGCTTTTTATAATCTGGAAAATGTGGTCAATAATACCTACTCATAGGGTTTATAGGAGAGTGATTTAAAGAAGATAGTACATGTATATCAACACAGTATCTGTTGCATGGTAAACAACTAAAAAATGTGAACTGTTCTTTATTATTACCTATCATAAAGGAATTTACAAACAAATGTACAATTCTGCTTCTCATAAAGAAATAGATGGATTTCAAATGTCTGTTAGTTATTTAAGATGTGAGTAAGAAATTAGATATATAGGTGATAGAAAAAAGGAAGAAATTTTACAAAACATTAACAACTAGAAAATAGCTAAATTTAGTTAGGCACTTGCTGTATGCTGTGTGCTGTGCTTAGCACTTTACTTGCATTTCTTATTTAATACACAAGTTAGTAAATTTGGTAGCATTGTCTCCATTTAATAAGGATTAAGAAAACAAATACCTTGTCCGTTGTCACAGAATTAGTAAATTWTAAAATCAGAATTTCAACCCAGATGACTAACTTTTTTCCAGAATCCACTTTCCTGGCTATGTGTACTTACTCTGTTATTAAATTCAGTATCTTCTTTGATTCTCAGAATAAACCTATGAAAGTAACTAGATTTTACCCTTGTTTCACAGATGATATATCTGAGAAAGTTGAACAACATGTACCAAGTTTCCACATCTAGTTAATTGATAGAAAGGAAACTTGAATTCATGTCTCCATGTTTTAGAAGTGTTTGCTCTATACTACCTAATAATAGCTTTTTGTCTGCCAAAGAGAAGAAAGGACACACTTATACGATGCTATCATGAGAAAAGCCAGTTGTAAAACTTAGAAACTTCTTAGGTTGGCCTGTTGCTTCACTGTTATGTCTCTGTCAGGTATGTCCGCATGTTGGGGGCACTTTACATGAGACTGACAGGTACTGCAATTGATTGCTACAAGTACTTGGAGCCTTTGTACAATGACTATCGAAAAATCAAGAGCCAGAACAGAAATGGGGGTAAGTATGATGCCAAATCTCTAGACTGTTTTTTATATACACACACACACACACACACACACACACATTTTTTTTTTTTAGGTGTAGATTGACACAATACCTTTATTTTGTTTATTTACTTTTATGTGGTGCCGGCATTCTTAAAGGAGCTTTTATTTCACCAGTATTTCTATTCTTACATTGTTACATATTCTGAGTACTCCTCTTCATTACATTGTTATCTTCTTCTATCAGGTCTTTCATCTCTCTCATGGGGACTATTCATTCTATTAGCTTCCAGTTGGCCTTTCAGTCTGTCCCTGTCTGCCTCCCTTTCTGTCTGCATATTAAGCTAATCCCTGCTTTGCATCTTKTACTCCTTCCACATGTGCTCCATTTTACAAGATCTAGCTCCAGAATGGCTTTTCCATAAAAAAATTGCCCTAGCACTCCCAGATAAAGTAAGTTTTCCTTATAGTACATCTTCTCTAGAACTGTACTTCGAATGTAGTATATAGAGTAGGTATATTTTTTTATTTTTTAATATTTTGTTTAGTTGTCAATAGACATTTATTTATTGCTTGTTGTTATAGAATTAGTAAATTATAAAATCAGAATTTCAACCCAGATGACTAACTTTTTTCTAGAACCCACATTCCTGGCTATGTGTACTTATTTTGTTGTTAAATTCAGTATCTTCTATTCATATATCGTGCTGAGAATCGAACCCAGGGCCTCACATGTGCTAGGCAAGTGCTCTACCACTGAGCCACAACCCCAGCCCCAGTGTATTCTTACTTACATAAGAATCCTATTGGGAAACAATAAATATATACAAAGGGGCAACTCTATACCTTTTATAAAGAGATACTTTCTAAACTAAGGAAGGCTCTGGAGGGAAGCAAGCAAAACATTTTGTCACTAGTGTCATAACAAAAGATAGTAACATTTGCCTTTCTCTTCTACATGTATTAACAGTAGAAGTATAATTTGGTATAGGTTAAGTATCCCTTATCACAAACGACTCAAGACGAGAATGTTTGAGATTTCAGAGTTTCAGATTTTGGAACATTTGCATAAACTTTACCAATTGAACATTTCTAATCCGGAAATCTGAAATGTTCTAAAATCTGAAACATTTACATATCATATTTTGGATTTGGGGATTAAGGATGCCCAGTTTATATTATACTTTAAACTTTTATTAACTTATTAGTTTATTCATTGGACAAGTACCAGTGACATGGCAGGTGCTGTATTGTATACTAGAAATAACATGGTGAACAAGATGGACATGGAATTGCCATTGTGGGGTTAATTTGCTTATATTTTGTTAAGACAGGATTTCTCAACCTGTGGATATTTTGGGCTAAATGATTCTTGCTATGGGGGTTGTCTTCTGCATTACAATATCCCTGGTCACTTCCCACTAGATGAAAGGAGCACTCCCTGTATGTAGGGTGATGGGGTTGTGCAAAATTACCTGTGATTGAGAACTATGGAACTGTACTATGGAAGATCTGAAAAGCTGTTACTTCATGTGGCAAATAAGATACATGTTCTATGTTTAGGAACATTGTGGGTTCATGAGAAATTAAATTTGAGTTGTATGATCTATTAAAATTAATATATTCAAGATCACACCTACATAATTCAAGACATCTTTCTTGCTAATTGTGACAACTTCATTTATCCTGTAAGCCCTTACTTCCAAATAGGCTTGGCACGTAGATAGCCTCATAAAATAAATATTATAATTCTTTTGGGGCTTTGTTTTTTCAATGTTGTTATCTGTATTGGTCAGCTTTTTATCTCAGTGACCAAAATACTTGATTTAAACAAAAGAAGAAAGATTTATTTTGAATCACAATTTCAGAGATTTCAGTCCATGGTCAGTGTGCTCTATTGCTTTGGTCCTGAGGCAAGACAGAACAGAACAGAAGGTTATKACAGAGGAAAGCTGCTCAGCTCATGATAGCCAGAAAGCAGAGAAAGAGTCTGTAGACAAGAAATATCCTTCCAGGGCACTCCACTAAATGAGCTACTTCTTCCAACTAGATTCTGTCTCCCAGTGAGTTCATTATCAGTGAATTAATCCACTGATGAGATCAGAGACCTCAGTCACTTCCCAAAAGCCCCACCTTTGAATGTTGCTGCATTGTGGACCAAGTCTTCAAACCATGAATCTTTAGGAAACACTTCATATCCAAACCATAACATTATCTAAATCTCTTTATTTCCAGTTTGCTTGAGCTAATGATTTTTTTTCTTTCAGAGTTTGAACTGATGCATGTTGATGAATTTATTGATGAATTGTTGCACAGTGAGAGAGTCTGTGATATCATTTTGCCCCGGCTACAGGTAAGAGACAGAAATCTGTTATCAGGGTCACCCTTCCCCTCTAAGATAGGCAGATAGACAGTCACACATACATATTAAAACACTGAAGCCCTGGGTTTGGGGGGTCCTCTTAATAAGATTTTATATCTATGAAAAAGAGGATAGGGAGTCAGAGGGAACAAAGTGTTTGAAAGGTGGTGCGTTAAAAGTTAGCATAGGGAAGTGTTCTTTAGAATGTCATATCAGGGATATTGTAGCCCAAGTAGTGATTTTTACACTTTGTGAGCAGCTTTTTTCAATTCATGTAAAAAGCCAGACTATAAAACAGATTAAAAGAGGGCTAGGGGATGGGAGTTGAGGCCTTAATTCCTTAAATTTCCCCCTTTCATCATCCTGCCACCTTGCTCTACTAATAGAAGATTAACTATGAACACCCTTCAGGATTGTGTTTTATGATTTTAAAACTACTTTCGCATATGATTTTAAAACTGCTTTTGCAAAATTCCGAGGGAAAATATGGTAGGTAACCTAAGGGAAAGAGAATGGGTAGAGAGATGACAGGAAGTTAGAAGATCTAACTTTAAGTTTCTTTGTTGTTATACCTGATTACTTATAGCACCTGGTCCTAGATTCTGTCTATAAAATGAAGAAAGTGCTCTTTAAACTTTGTTTTGCAGATATTGAAAAACCCCATATATTCTAACCCAGATAGTTCCTTTCTCCTCTAGGTTATAAATGGAGCTCGAGAAGGGAAACTTCCTTTGAAATAAGGCTTTTAAAGTGACTTGTTTGTAGTATGACTGACACACAATAAACTGTATTTTAAATTATAAAATTTGATAAGTTTTAATACGTGTATACCCACATGAAACTATTGCCACAATCAAGATAGTGAATCCCTTCCTTCCGCTCCTCTCACTTAGCCCTGTTGATGTGCTGTTGTAATAGATTACTTCATGTTTTGAAATGTAAAACATTTTTTCATTCAGCATAAATATCTTGAGATTCATCCATGTTATGCATGTGCATTGATTTGTTACATGTTATTGCTGAGTAGCACTCCATTGTGTATAGCCATTTACTTGTTCATGCATAATTAGGGAATACAAGGTCAATATACAAAAATCAATTGTAGGTCTATACACTGGCAATGAACAATTAGAATTTGAAATCTTATTAAAAAGACAACATTTATAGCAGCATAAAAATATAAAATAAGAATATTTTGTCAAAAGAGAAGACTTATACACTTTATACTACAAAATAGTTTAGCATTACTGAGAGCAATTAAACAAGACATAAATAAATGGAGAGAGATACAGATGTTCCTCAACTTGTGATAGGGTTACTCCCAATAAATCTATTTTAAGTTGAAAATGTATTTATTACACCTAACCTACTAAATATTCTAGCTTAGCATAACCTATTAGAACACTTACTTGTATAATGAGAGAGCACATTATACTATAGACTACCAATTGTTTACCGATGTGATCACATGACTGGGAGCTTTTGCTTACTGCCACAGCTCAGAATCAAGAAGTATGTACACCAGTGTCAGTTGTTTAAAAGTGAAAATATTTATTACATGCATTGGAAAAATTGTTTACAAATTGATGTTACCTGTTTATGTAGAGCTCTTTAGATGTAATAAAATAAAAGCCTTAAGTTAAAAAATGAAGGAGTATGTACTGCGATTCACTAGCTTGGTAATAGATGATAATTCAAAGTGCAGTGCCTACTGAGTGCATTTTACTTTCACACCATGATAAAGTAAGAAAAGTAAATTGGATACCATATGTATCACATTGATGTTATATCTTGTACAATAATTTAATATTGTCAGTTCTCCCAAATTTATTCAATGCAATCTCAATCAAAATCTTAGTAAACTTGTAGAACTTGACAAGCTAATTCAAAAATTTATATGAAGTACAAGGGACTTAGAATATCCAAAACAACTTTGAAAAAGAACTGAGGAGGGAAATTGAAATGTGACTTATAAATGTTAACATATTACCAAGAGGTGTGCTCTGGTATGTGCCTCTATGTGTCCTGATTAAAGTAACTCTTAAGCCTACCTTTTGTAGGGTAGGGGTATAGCTCAGTGGGTAGAGCACTTGCCTAGCATATGCCAGGTCCTGGGTTCAATGCCCAGTACCAAAAAAAAATTCTAGGACTATCTTTTGACCTGATTCTATTCTTCTCAAGCAAACTACAGCTTTTAACTTTTTTTTTTCCCCCTTGGGATGARGGTCTCAAAGATGTTGCCTAAGCTGGCCTTGAATTTGTAATCCTCCATTTCAGCCTCATAATCAGCTGGGATTATAGGTGTGCATCCACAGTAGCCCAGCTCCAGTTGAGTTTTTTTGGTTTGTTTCATTTGTTTTTGTTTTGTTTTGATACTGGGGACTGAACCACTTAACCACTGAGCCATGTCCCTAGCCCCCTTTTATTTATTTGAAACAGGGTCTCRCTAAATTACTTAGGGTCTGGCTAAGTTGCTTGATGCTGGCCTGGAACTTGCAATTCTTCTGCCTCAACCTCCAGAGTAACTGAGATTATAGGTGTGCACCATCATGCCCAGCTTCCTGATGAACTTTTGTTAGGTGCACCCTGACATTTGCAAGGAGTTGCTTTGAATTCTCATTCCACAAAACACAGACTCTAGAATTTTGATTGAAGATGAGTGAGAGCTAGATAGCATACAAATAATACTACTTATTCTACAGCTACCCATCTAAATCATCCAACATTCTTTATTTCCTTTGAATAAGAAAATGGTAAGGGGTCTTATCACTCAGTCAGTCCTGACTTACTTTGCCTCTCAGGTTCTTAGTCACTGCTAAGGCATATCCCAAAAGAAAATGGAACCAGGAGATGAACTGTTTGCTTAGGCCCAATTCAAAATGCATGAAGAATCTCAACAGCTTCCTGGATCTTGGGTCTGATGAACATTTGGTGTTATTCTAAGGCTAGGCCTCTTCTTTTGGAAATAATACCCAACACAGTCTCAGCCATAAACTTATTGGCCCTTGGATTTTTTAAATTTAAGTTGTTGATGGACACAATACCTTTGTTTTATTTTTGTGCAGTGCTGAGGATTGACTTGGTGCCTCATGCATGCTAGGTAAGTGCTCTACCACTGAGTTACAATCCTAGACCCAGCCCTTGGATTTTATGTGTATATAAAGCTCACATATTTGGCTATACATATACTGATATTTTAGTGACAAAACAGTATAAGGTAAAAGAAAACAGAACCAATAGAAAATGAATTTGTTCTCCTCAGTTTTGTATTTATGATTGTAGGGTAACTTAAAAAGAGTATATAGACTCCAGATGTATTAAACTCCTTAGGAAAATCTGAACTGTCTGAGGTACAGTTACCATACTTTTCTGACAATTCAAGAAATGCAGTGTTGGGGCCTCAGGACAGAGAAGATGGCAGTGATCCCTTTTTTATGTTCTCTGTAGAAACGCTATGTGCTAGAGGAAGCTGAGCAACTGGAACCTCGAGTTAGTGCTCTAGAAGAGGACATGGATGATGTGGAGTCCAGTGAGGAGGAGGAAGAAGAAGATGAGAAGGTAAGGCTTACAAGAATTTAAGGGTTGGGAAAGGGTGGAAATGAGCTTTTTGTGTTTTGTTTTCAGGCTTCAATTTTTAACAAAAAAAGGAAATGCTTTATTTTAAAAGTATAAATCCTTGATTCATAGCTCTGCTATTTATTATAGGTGTAACCTTAATGTTCTTTTTTAAAATTTGTTTTTGATGCTGGGGATTGAACCCTGGCCTTGCACAGAATAAGGACATAATCTACCACTGAACTACGCTACCCACAGCCTCCTACTAGTGATATAAGCATGTGTAAATTACATAACCTTAGTTTTCTTAAAAACTGAAAGTGAGAATAGTAATCCTTTTTTCTCAAAATTGTTATGAGTATTCAATGAGTAGATTATATATATAAAGCTCTTAGTATTGGCGTATGTTAATTGCCTGATAAATGTACCTATTAAAATAAAAACTTGGGAGAGTTGAACCTATTCTAAGCAATAAGCCTAGTTTAGTGGAAAAGAGTGCCTATTGCAGTCATTCTTTCAATCATTTAAAATGCTGAAAAGCTGTTAAGAAGCAATCAGATAAATGATGATATCAATTCATAAAACTATTAGGCAGGATTTAATACTTTTAAACTCCACAATTTATTTTTTATAGACCATGTTTGTTAGTGTCTATAGATGTTTATTCTTTCATCCCTTTTGCATCTCTGACACTTTTTATTTATCTTCTTCCTTCCTGTGTAATTCTTAAGAATTTCTATTCGTATGGGTATTTTCCTAGCAAATTCTGGTTACCTGTAAATGATTATTTCACACTCATTCCTTTTTTTTTTTTTAAGGCATTCACAATTTTTTTTAATATTTATTTTTTAGTTTTCAGCCGACTCAACATCTTTGTTTGTATGTGGTGCTGAGGATCGAACCTGGGCACACGCATGCCAGGCGAGCGCGCTACCGCTTGAGCCATATCCCCAGCCCTCACTGTCATTCTTTAAAGATATTTTTTATTAGTACACAATCCTAGATTGACAGTTTTTTCCCACAGCACTTTTAAAATACTGTTCAATCCTCTGGCAACCATTATCAACTATGAGTGGTCTGCTTTCATTCTAATTAGTTTTTTTTTTTTTTTAAGAGTAATCTGTGATATTTTTCCTCCTGACAGCTTTAAGACCTTCTCTTTGTTATTTTGTAGTTTTATTATGATCTGACTCAAGTTTCCTTTTATTGATTACTTCATTTGGTGTTTGTTTTCATTTTGCTTTCCAGCTGTTTTTCATCAGCTCTAGAGTATTAAGGCCCTTGATCTTGTCTATTGTCTCTTCATTCTCTCTTTAAGGGGTTCCATTAGAAATATGTAAGTTCTTATTTGGTCCATCTTGTAACTGTTTCTATCTTATTTCAGTCATGTATTCTGCTTAATTTTTTCAGGTATTCTTCCCAGTTCACTTGTTTTTTCCTATACATCTCTTGTTAGTTGTTCTGATTGTGCCTTTAATTACTTATACATATCATACATAACTCATGTTTTCTACCTGATAATTCAGTGTCAGTCTTGGAGGTGTCTACTTCTGTCTGTTGTTACTGCTGACTCTCGGTCATAACATCTCACCTTCTCATATAATTGCTGATGTTTGGTGCTTAAACTTGATTGATGAGGTTGCTCTGGTGATAAACTGAAGGTGGAACTTTTTCCTCCAAAAATGATTTGCAGTCATTTTTGCAAATGGATAGGCATATGTTCTAAGAACGTCATTGTTCAATTTTATTATACAATCATTATCAGAGTATACTTACAGAAACTTAGATGGTATGGATCATTTGGCATAACTTTTTTTTTTTTAACAGTTCTAGGGATTCCACTCACAGCCTTGTGCATGCTAAGCAAGTGTTCTAGTACTGAGCTATGTCTTGAGCCTAAAATTAAATTTAATTAATTTTTTTTTCAGTACTAGGATTGAACCCAGGGCCTCACATATTCTAGACAAGTGCTCTACCACCACTGAGCTAGGTATAAACTTAGAAAATAGGCAGTAATTTAATATGCTGTGGAGAGCAGAATAGAAATGTGAACCCTGTCTTGTAGGTTAACTCCTATAAAGACATGTAACCTCTCTACGATTGTCTGCAAATTTAATATGTTCCAGTAAAAATAGCAAGTTTATAAGTGTTTCTATAATAACATTAATTGTGTGTTCTAAACCTTACATGTAATGTGTGTAGAAAATAAGTGCATGCAAAAATTATTAGGGTTTATAGGAAAAAGATTGAGTGCACTATCTCAGGAGATAATACATACAGTCCAGCTGACCACCTTGCTATGGCTAGAAGTTACTTCAATATTAAAAATACACAAAAAGCAGTAGAAAAAGTAGAAATGCTGGCTTATGTATTGAAACAGTCAGTGCAAATGGAAACATATCCCTGAGGCCCTAGGCTTCCTGTAAAGTAAGTGCAAATGGCAGGGCATTCTTCCACAAATTAAAAGCATTACAGGGCTGAGGTGCTCTTCTGTGGGAAATGATTCAAAAGTAGACATTCTTTTTTCTTTTTTTTTTTTAAAGAGAGAGTGAGAGAGGAGAGAGAGAGAGAGAGAATTTTTTTTTAATATTTATTTTTTAGTTCTCGGCGGACACAACATCTTTGTTGGTATGTGGTGCTGAGGATCGAACCCGGGCCGCACGCGTGCCAGGCGAGCGCGCTACCGCTTGAGCCACATCCCCAGCCCAACATTCTTTTTTCTTAATGGAAAATTTCAATGACATGCTAAAGTGTAGAAAATATACCTCCATATACTCATTACTCAGCTTTTAGCCATAATTAGTCATAACCAATTTTCTTTCCTCTGTGTTCCAACTCAGTTAACCCATACCTATTTTTTTGGAGTACATCACGAACATCATGAGTTCATACTATTTTAGAAAAGATAGAGGCTCCCATCTTAAGCAAAACCATGATACCATCCATCATCATTCCCTCTTGCAAATCAACAATATCATCAAGTATTGAAAGTTTGCATTTCCCCAGCTATCCTATATATATATATTTTTTTTATTTTTAGGTGGACACATATCTTTATTGTTTTTACGTGGTACTGAGAAATGAACCCAGTGCCTCAGGCATGCTAGGCCAGCATGCAACCACTTGAACATGCACATCCCCAGCCCCTTAGGTCCTGTGGTTTTGTTTTTTTTTTTTTTTTTTCAGTTTTCGGTGGACACAACATCTTTATTTTATGTGGTGTTGAGAATCAAACCCAGCGTCTGACGCATGCCAGGAGAGTGCGTTACTGCTTGAGCCACATCCCCAGCCCCATCCTGTGTTTTTTTAAAATGCTTTTTTTTTTAGTTGTAATTGGACACAATACCTTTATTTTATTTACTTACTGAGGTGCTGAGGATCAAACCCAACGCCTCGCACGTGCTAATGTAGTGCTCTACAACTGAGCCACAACCCTAGCCCTATCCTGTATTTTTTAATAGTTTAATTGAGTAAGTGTTCAGTGTCCATACATCATAGTTGTTTTTTTTTTTTAATTTTTTTTTTTAGTTGTTGATAGACCTTTTATTTATACACCATGTTGAGAATCAAGTCCTCTGCTTCACACGTGCCAGGCAACTGTGCCACCACTCAGCCCCAGCCCCATCCCCATCATAGTTGGTTTTTATGACTCTTAAAGTGTCTTTAAGTCTGTAAGTTCCATCGTACATTTTTGTGATATTATTATTATCAGATCATTTATCCTACACAAATTTACAGTCTGTTTTTCTGATTTTTATCTGTGATGTTACTAACATTTTCCTGTGCCCTTTGTATCATTTCCATTAGTTATTAAATCTTGAGGGTTAATCAGATTTGGGGGGKTTTATCTCCTTTGAAGTGGAGCAGCACTATTTCATAAGCATAAAGTCTGTCTTGTTTCATTTTTTGTTTATTCTGAGAGAGAGGGTCTTGCTAAATTGCTACAGCTGGCCTCAAACATGCAGTCCGTCCTCCATCTTCAGTCTCCCAAGTCTCTGGAATTGTCTCACCTTTTTTGATGTTAGGATCAATGCCTAGATCCATTAGGTGTTGTAAAATGGTGATATATTCTAATTTTCAATTTTTTCAGCATTTTAACCTGAAATCCTCCTGTAAAGAAAACACCCCCAAATGAACATTTAGTTTTTCGTAGACAAGGCAAGATTAACTTTTCCTTTACCAGTTTAAAATAATGAATTTGGTTCTCCAGTGCCTTCCCTAGATGATGCTTTTTTGTCCTTGATAATATTTTGAGCTCCTGGATTTAAGCAGATGTGGTATTATCATTCATCACTATCTACATTAATGCTCAAATTTTCCCATCTTTGGCCCATAGAGGCTTCTTCAACTTAACTCCTGAGGTTTTATTAATACTTTCACAGAAGTCTTTTTTTGGGGGGTGGGGGTGATACTAGGGATTGAACCCAGGGATAGTCTACCACTGAACTACATCCCCAGCCCTTTTTCATTTTGTATTTGGAGACACAGTCTTGTTAATTTTCTGAGGCTGGCCTCAAACTTGTGATCATCCTGCCTCAGCATTCTGAGTTGCTGGGATTGTAGGCATGTACCACTGCACCTGGTTCACAGAAGTCTTTTATACATACCATCCTTGGTTTCTCACGTAACAAAACGTTCCAGTCACATTTTGTATACTATGCCCCAGACCTGGAATTAACCATTTCTCCCAGAAGTTCTTGGTTTTTTTTAATAGTAAATAGTATTCAGATACCGCAGTCTAGGCACTATAAGTGGTCATTGCTACCAGGTTAATTGGTGTTGCTAGGCCTTTACATTTGGCAGAACTAGAGGAATTTTTTTTTTTTTTTAAGATTAAAATACTTTGTATTTAACATTGTTGGGGCTGGGGATGTGGCTCAAGCGGTAGCGCGCTATCCTGGCATGCGTGCGGCCCGGGTTCGATCCTCAGCACCACATACCAACAAAGATGTTGTGTCTGCCAAAAACTAAAAAATAAATATTAAAAAAAAAAACATTGTTGTTCTTATATCTCTGTTTTCTTGTATGTTGAAAATCCAACTTGTTAAAAGAAATACTTATTTCTTATTATACTCACACAGTCCCAGAATAATAATACTAACACTAGGAATAATAATAGGATTATTGAAAACTGTTTTCTGGTAGTTCTTTTTTGTCTTTAGGGTTTTCCCTGCAAGTAGTCAAATTATTGTGTTGTATAGTCACTTAGAGATAGACTTGGGACAGGATGGGAGGAAAGAAATAATCAGTTTTACTAAACAGCTGTCTGTAATAAGCCTGTGGCCATCACTTACCCATCTGTCTTGTTTCCAGTTGGAAAGAGTACCATCACCTGACCACCGCCGCAGAAGCTACAGAGACTTGGACAAGCCCCGTCGCTCTCCAACGTTGCGCTATAGGAGGAGTAGGAGTCGGTCTCCCAGAAGGTAAGGCTCTAGTCCTTGACCTTTTCAAGGGAGATTTTGAGAATTATACCCTAGGAGTTTAGATTGTAGGAAAAGAAAAATGCTAGTTTATGGAGAAATGTTTGCCTGATGTCTTAATGATCTATTACTACAAAATGATCACTCACAAAACCTCACTCACAGATAAAAAATGTTTCTTTAGTTCACAAGTATTTCTCAGTGATGTAAGTGGGGCTCATATATGCAGTATTTGGACTATAAATTATGTTTCTCACTTGTTTTTTGATCAGTTGTTTACTGATACAGGATAGACCTTAGCAAGGATGGCTAGGGCAACTTCTCTGTGTCTCATCCTCCAGCAGGCTAAGTTAGCTATGTTCTCAGTGACAATTGGAAAATTTAAGAGCAAACAAATTCATTCCTGCAGATATTCTTCCTGTATCTGCTTGTATCACATTTGCAAATATCCCATTGACAAAGCTAGAGTTAAGAGTGAGCAGGTACTACAAGTTACAAGACAAGACATGGATACAGAGAAAGGTAAAGAATATGAATCTGGGCCACTAGGTTCAATCCCTAGTACTTGCCCAAAAAAGAACCGGAGCTATTCTTGCACTCTACCAACATCCAGTACACTAACCTAAGCTCTCTTCCTCCTCTTTGTAGGCGGAGTCGATCTCCCAAAAGACGAAGGTAGGCTTTCAATCAATTTTGATGAAGGAGAGGGTTTGGGGAGGGGTTGTTGGTGTTGTGTGTATATTGTCAAATAGATCTGGTGGGTTGACCAGTCTTTTCAACAGCCCCTCACCCCGCCGAGAAAGGCATCGGAGCAAGAGTCCAAGACGTCACCGGAGCAGGTCCCGCGATCGACGACACAGATCTCGCTCCAAGTCTCCAGGTAATAGAACTTGGGCCTTGGTGTTGCTTGTCTTAAACTATGCCTCTTTGATTTCTTTGTTATGTCATACAATATAGGAATGCCTCACTGTTGCTTAACAGAAAAATAAATGGATGTTGAATTTGAAAATTAGGGTTCACATCTTGAGTCTTTGCTAATATGATAATAGGCTTCAGGTTTTTTTGTTTTGTGGCACTGGGGATTGAACCCAGGGGTTCTTTACCAGGGGTGCTTTACCAGAACTACATTCTTAGCCCTTTCTATTTTGAGACAAGGTCTCTTGTTAAGTTTCTGAAAGTGGCATGGAACCTGCCAAAGTTGGTCTCAAACTTGAGATCCTCCTGAGTCACTGGGGTTACAGGCATGCACCACTGCTCCTGGCCAGTTTCTCATATAGTAGAGGTAGAAACCCGACATGGTGTTTGTGAAATTAGCCATAAAGCTCTGAAGGTATATGAAGTGGTTTCATTAGTACTAATACACACACACACCAATTCAAAGAAGTATTATCAACAAGAGGGGTCCCTAGCATAAGCCAAAAGAGTGTTGAGCTAATGGGAAGAATTGGGGGAGATGAGGATACCAGTTTAAGAATAAAAGGATAGAGTCCGACTTATCCAATGACCTTTTCTTCTCCAGGTCACCACCGAAGTCACAGACATAGGAGCCATTCAAAATCTCCTGAAAGGTATGGGTAGAAAGTCCCAATTACAAATGAGCTAGACCTAAAATTTCCTTGTTTTGATGAGGATGATAAGAATTTCTCATTTTAAGACAAAGTAGGCCTTTTGCCCTCAGAATTACTAGGATTATACCTCTTTTACACTGTGGGTATTTCTTTGTAAGATTATGGCTTTGGATAACAAATGAGCTATGGTCTCAATAGACCTAGGTTTTAAAGTACCAACTTTTAAAAAAAAAAATTATATATGACAGTGGAATGTATTACCACAATTCATATTACACATATAAAGCTCAATTTTTCACATCTCTGGTTGTATACAAAGTGTATTCACACCATTTGTGTCTTCATACACATACTTAGGGTAATGGTATCCATCTCATTCCACCATCTTTTTTTAACCCCCATGCCCTCTTCCTTTCCCTCTCACCCACTTTTGCCCTATCTAGAGTTCCGTCTAACCTTCCCATACTCCCCCTCCCAACCCCACTATGAATCAGGCTCCTTATATCAGAGAAAGCATTTGGCATTTGGTTTTGGAGGACTGGCTAACTTCACTTAAAGCATTATATTCTCCAACTTCATCCATTTACATGCAAATGCCATGATTCTTTTATTGCTGAGTAATATTCCATTGTGTATATATACCATATTTTCTTTATCCATTCATCTAGGTGGGTTCCACAGTTTARCTACTGTGAATTGTGCTAAAGCACCAACTTTCACTTTCATTTGTTCAGCTGTTATTAGAAACCTATGTACTTTTAACCTCTGAAAGAGTTCATTTCTTCAATGATAAAACTGGATAATAATTCGCAACTCTGTTGCTCTGAGACACACAGACATACAGACTACACACACACAATTTAACCCACACATTTAATGACTATTAGGTGTCATCTCCATCCTTATCATTGTCAACCATATCATGGACTTTCTCACAAATCCTTCGCTGCTTAATTAATAATTTATATATATTGCCATTTCAGGTCTAAGAAAAGCCACAAGAAGAGCCGGAGAGGGAATGAGTAGTGAACTCAGCTTTTGATTATGAGGGTGTCTACTCATGTGGAAGAATTAAGATCTGTTTTCCAGGCAGCTTTAAGAGCAATTTAGTTTTTTCTTATCAAGTTTTTCTACCTTTTTTTTTTTTTCCTCTGGTATGAAAAAGGTGCTGAGTTTTGCCTCCTTTTTTGAACTGTAATCAATATCTTTGAGGGATGATGTTTCTTCATGTCAGTTTTTGACCCAACTAATAACTATAACTGTATTCAAACTTATGAGGCTAGGAAAGGATCTGGGGGTTGGGAATATGAATGAGAAAGGATCTGGCCACCTGATGAGCGACCCTTTTCTTTTTTGTTATTAAACCCGACATAGACATTTGCCCTTTTTTTGTTGTTGTTTAGTTTTTGGTTTGCTTGGTGGTTAGAACTGCTTTGAGAGTCCTGGGATATATACCTTTCCTTCTTTAATAAAGGAAAAATGATTGAAGGGCAGGGAATGAGGATAAATCAGTAAAAATATAGTAACTTTTCTCCCAGCAGTAGAAAGTGGTAGTAAACCTGAAAATTGACTGGTGAGCCGCACTTTTGCAGGATTAGAATGCATTCAGACAATACTTTATCTGGATCATTCAAGCCAGTTTCATCAAACAGTTCAACAGTAGCACTTGACACCCTTTATACAGCACATTCCTGTATAGTACCACTTTGTTGTTCCCCATAAGCCTTGAATTCCAGGTTCAGATCCTTAGCCTTTATTCTGCAAGTACTATTCAGTAGCAGTAGGTCTAAAAAATTGGAAAAGATCTGATGGAGAGCAAAGTAGTAACAATCATGGTTTTGACCCAAGTTGCTCAACAGTCGTACAATTAAAAAGTCAAGGGGCTAGGGTTGTGGCTCAATGGTAGTGTGCTTGCCTGGCATGTGTGAGGCATTGGGCTCAATTCTCAGCACCACATACAAATAAATAAAATAAAAACTAAAAAGTATTTTTAAAAGAAAGTACAGTAGGAAGACAGCTTTTTAGAAGGGTAGAGAATGAGGATAAATCAAGGTGATAATGAAAATGACGCATTCAAATTAACAAGTTTAATTTGAGGCAGTTATGGTGTGCAGTGTAACTACATAAATTCCAGATGGTTTAAAAATAGGGATACAGTTCAGCATAGTGATCTAGTCTACAACTGATGTTTATGTAATTGCAGAAGATGTAGATGAGATTGATTGCCCAGGGTGTGCATCTGTAGGTAAAAGATGAACAAACAACAGCACCATAGGCAACACCAACATTATTGACAAAGAATTACAAGTCACCTATATAAAACAAGTGAATTATTCACAAAGAAGAATTAGAAGAGAGTAAGTCAAAAAAGCTAAGAGTCTAAGGACACAGAAACAAAGTAAGGACTTCTAAATGTCCCCATTGGCCCTGATGGTCAACAGAGTATTAGAATCTCTGCTACAGAAGTTTAGAGGTTGGGGTTATAGCTCAATGGCAGAGCACTTGCCCCTCATGTGTGAGACACTGGATTTGATCCTCAGCACCATATAAAAATGTATATGCATCTACAACTAAAAAACAAAAGTTCTTTTTACCTGTACTTACCTGTCCTTATTTAATAAAGGAAAAATGATTAAATGACTTCCTACAGTTCTAGTACCAGGAGGAATTTTGAAGACCAGCTTGCCTTATAGGAACCAGCTTCCTGGAAAGTCATCTAGTCATAGGATAAACATTTCTGTTGCTCACTATTGATCTGAAGGACTTATACAGCAATATTAAAGCATCTTTTGATCTACTTGAGCTTTCATATTCTTAAGTGATTCCTTTCATGACAACACCTGAATGAAAGTTGTCCCCGAGAGCTGTTATGCCTTATGATACAACTACAAGCACCTCTACTTGAGGCTATTACAGACTCCTAGCAGTTATTTCTGTACTAAGGTAACGTAGGTGAAAAGGAAAGGCCCATGGACCAACCGAGTCATTATGAGTATATTATTAAATAAAAATTTAATACTAGCCATAAAGGTTGAGGCCAGGAGTATCATCCCTGGTCAACTTAGACCCTGTCCCAATATAATTTTTTAAGAAGGCTAATATACACACCCACATATTTTACTGGGGACACTCGTGTTTTTATACTAAAGTAAAACCCTCATACAAATTTTTAATAACAGAAACAAAAACCTCACCAAATGTAAATGTTAAACGCACAGTTATTTAGATATATGATGACTTTGGACCAAAATTGGGGCAGCATGACAACTTTATAGCACAGAGCAAGGCATCACTATTCTTTAATAAGAAAAAAAGAGATGTGAGCTGGATATGTTGAACATATCTTTCAAGATCATTTTGATAAATCAGAATTGTAGTGTTGAAATTTTTTTGCTACAATCTATATTAAATGTATTTCACAACTTACCTTTTGTACATATRTATACTTTGTACTGAAACAAATTTTAGGAAAGAATTCTTACTCCTTACGCAAAATGCATGTTCAGCATCACTTTCTACAATTTGAAATAGTGTCTTAAATACTAATGGGCACAAGGACTTCTTAATGCTAAGAAATGAAGCAAGATGGGTTCCCAGGGACAAAGGAAATAATGGCTGGTGAGAAGGTTTCAATTTAACAACCCAACTTCAAGCCCATTCCACTAATCTTTCCTGTTATTCAGTAAATATGCATTGATCAAGAAAGAATGATCACAGATGGCTGTCACTCCCTCAAGAAGGTTAAAAGTAAAATTTCCACACACAATGTATACACTGAAATCATAGTAACTCTGGAGGCTGAGGCAAGAGGATCCCACGTTGGAGGCCAGACTGAGCAACTTGGAGAAAAACTGTCTCTAAAAAATAAAGAAGACTGGGGGTGGGGGGATTGTGGCTCAGTGTTAAGAGTATATCTGGGTTCAATTCCCTAGTACAAAAAAAAAGTATATAGGCTCAAAAAAAAGAAAAAGATTAAAACAAATGGAAAATAAGATGTGTGGAGCTTTAAAAAGTTAAAATTTTATAAATAGAAATGAAAGTCTCATTGCACACCACAAAATACAGTTGGATGCATTGGTGCATGCCTTTGATCTGAACTACTCTGAAGCAAGAGAAATCACTTGAAGCCAGCCTGCGCAACAGCAAGAGCCTGTCTCTAAAAAATAAAACAAGGCATAGAGAAAACAAAGGAAATAAAAACTGGAAAAGAAAGCTATCAAAATAATACCGAAAATATACAAAAGGAACCCTAGCATTCTCAAATATCCTAATGAATTAAAAAAGACAAGAAATTATGTTAGGATCTAAGCTGAGAAATCAAATAACAGGGATGATGCAAGATGGTCTGAGCTCATGTAACAAACTTATGGAATGCAGTAAAGCAGAAGGCTCCAAAGTTAGAAAAATTTTGTGTCAAGAATTTCATATTTTGCCAAAACTTCCTTAAACTATAAAGTCAATATGCTGGGTGTTGTGGAATATGCCTGTAATCCCAGGCTAAGGTAGGATTACAAATTTGAGGAAACCTCAGCAACTTAGACCCTGTTTCCAAAAACAAAACAAATTTTTTTACTTTTTTTTTTTTTTTAAAGTAAAAGAGGACTAGAGATATAGCTCAGTGGTAAAGCACCCTTATGTTCAATCCCCAGTACCCACCCCCCAAAAAATTTAGGGAATAAATATTCTCAAGTATGTAATGAAAGTATACAGTGGTGAACTTTTGGAGAAAAAAAGCCTGATAATAAAATTTAACCAAATAAGAAGAGAAGGCTATAAAAGGAGTAGTAATAAACATTTTAGAAACTTTTAAACAAAAGAAATGATTATAAGGTTCAAATTAATATGAACATGGTCCTATGTAGAAATAATAAACAGAAGTAAAGAAACTCAAGTTTGTTGGTTTCATCTATCATATAGGACTGGTGGTGCACACCTGTAATCCCAGTAGCTGAGGTAGGAGGATCTCAAGTTCAAAGCCAGCCTCAACAATAGCAAGGCACTAAGCAATTCAGTGAGACCCTGTCTCTAAATAAAATGCAAAATAGGGCTGGGATGTGGCTCAGTGGTTGAGTGCCCCTGAGTACCCTCAACTCCCAAAAAGAAAACACCAGCCTCTTCACTGTTTTCCATAATTGTCCTTAATTTTAAGAGGAATCTTTTAGAATTAAACTCTTATGGGGAGGAGGGGTTTAGCTGAACATTTCTTCAGTTTCATATTTGTTTTCATTCTATTGAATTCAGGTGAAATTAATTTGCTGTGTTTGTTAAATATGATATATAAGCCTACTTTTGTAAAATAGTACATATCTCTGAGATGGCTAGAATGAATGAAGCTTACAAGGTACTAATACTTATTTCTGTTTGATGGACTTTTGAGTGATTTGTATACTTTGTACTTTTATATAATGCTATTTTTCCTCAATAAACACATTAAATTTTTTTTACAAGGAAAAAATAACAGCAATTTAAAGGTTTTTTTTATAAGCATAACTAATACATTTATACTTTGTTGGTTGCTACTGCAAATTGGTAACCACTCTTTTGGGAGGGCAGTTGGACAATATGTAGCAGAATACTTTAGAACTTTCATCCTTTTACTCAGGTCAACCTAACAATAAATGTACATGTAAATAACTTTATCCTATCATTGTTTTACATACATTTTATATATACGAGAAAAGCTAGAAACAGCAAAAAATGTATCTGAAGAAGACTGGACAAATAAATTATACATTGTATCATTTATGTATTTTTGAATAATCATAATAGCAAGGGAAAATTTAACCTTCATGTCAAATAATATAAAATATTTCACAGCAATATGAACTCAATAGTTGTATGTGTGTTCTCTCTGGATAACTTAGCTCAGTTGCTCTTCTATGAGAATTTGAATTCATAATCAACTTTGCAAACTTATAAAACCGAGTTACTGTTGGATAAATAATAAATTAGAATTGTCTGTTTTTCAACTTGGACATTTTGCCAGTTATTGTACACTGGCAGTTACTGAAAGAGGAAAAGCAAGATACTGAAAATTAGTTAATTCTGTAAGTAAAACCAAGGTTATTAACCAGGTTATCGATTAATAACTTTTGCCTTATAGTATACTGCCTTCAGGAAGGAAAGCTAAACTGGGGGGGCATTCTGTGGTATAGATTTTGTTGTTTTTTTCAATGAAAATTTCAGATATATACAAAAGTACGGAGAACATTAAAATGAATACCCATGTACACTTCATCGTCTGTTCTCCAAGACTGGAGGAAGATGAAATATTTGAACATTAATTTTCAAGGAAACCTTGAWACTTTAAAGTCACATTTTCAGTGATGAAATAGAGAAGGTACCTGTAGCCATCATCTTCATAGGGTTATGAAAAATCCAAAAGAATAAGGGATTTTTCATGAAAAGATCCTAAGATGTGTATATCTGATTTAGAATACTCACTAAAAGTAAAACAGACCTTTGAATTCCTGTTATAGATCCATCATCTTACCCAGATGAATTAACCAAATTTGACTCTTATAAAAAAAATTTATTAACTTAAAATAGAACTGCAAATACAGACAAAAGCAACTTTCTGAATATATTCAATATACAAGTATGTAAAAGAAAAAGATTTTGAATCTTCATGTTGTAGTTTTATTTTATTTTTTTACCTTTTAAAAAGTTTTTTGGCACTACAAGGTTCTGTAAAGAATAGAAGTGACAAATTTAAAACACATGAAATCCTTTCCTAATTCTTAAGAACAATATATATATAAAGTCTGAAGCAACCAAAGTATGAATACAGCTAATAGAAAATAAAGAATGTAATTTTTAAATTCTCTCTTTATACAATTCATCAAGGTTAAACAAAACATAAAATTCCCTTAAAAATAGGGTAATAAAATAGATGAAATTTGTATCACTCAATTTAGTGATACTAGTAAAAACTATAGTTCATATTTATATACAAATAATACAGTGTTTAAAAACAGTCTTAGAATTTAAATAAGCTATCTAAACGTGTTAAAATTTTAAATCAGGACCTGATTTGTTTTGCTTTCCATTAAATGTCACTTTTTCTGCTGAATGTAACTGACATTGAGGTACGGATACCCTTGAGACAGCAGGATTGGCTGGTTGCTGTGCATCGGTAGACCAGCTGAAAGAAAATGGACTCGCATTACTCCGACACGTTTCCTCTTGGTGGGTGGGGACAACGCTCTCTACACCGACGGGTGGCACATCTGTCTGTTGGATACAACACAGACAGGAAACTGAAAGGCTTGTGCCTATGCATCTGACAACCCCTTAGAATTAACTTATAGGTAATTCTCATTTTTCCTATTTATATAATAGCAGATGAAGCATGACAAAATATTTGGAGAGGAAATAATAAAGAAAAGGAAGAGGGAAATATAGGTATATGCAAGGAGATGAGATAAAAAGAAATGAAGGGGAAGAATCAATGAGGAGAAACATACCACAGAAGAATTTCAGACTCTTCTTTGCTGGAAAGGCTTGTATAAATGGTAATAACAACTTCCCTCAGCCCTACTTATCTACTCAAGATAAGAACTCAGTCAATATTCTTCTGCCATCCTATAATACTGAAGTGCCTCAGCAATATATGAATAACTTAGGAAGGCTTAAATGTATTAAGCTAAGGTTTATACCAGAAGCCTCCCTGTCAAAACAGGTATTTTTGAGACAAGTGGATTACATGAAATGCTCCTAGTTCCTGGAATTTTCAATTTATAATATTCATTACCCAGGTAAAGCCACCATGGGCACTATTACACCACCAGCAGATTATAAATTCCTAATGTCATTCAGGTTCTATTTTTACTTAACAAAGTTATGTCTCTATATGAAAAACTTTGAATAGATTCCTACAGCTACTAAACCATGTCTGACCTCTTTCATAATATGGTCTTAGTTTTGCCCTCTCTAGACTTTCATTTTACACAAATTTACCATATGCCCCCATCCCCTGGTTTTGTTATTTTCTCTTCGTTGTGACAGACAAAACTCAGTGACTTTTGACATATTACCCTCTTAGCTAAGAACAATCTTCCTTCCCTCTAATCTTAAGAGTTAAAGGGAAAAAAAATGTATGTGTATATTTCTATATATTTTTAAAATTTGTGTAAATGAAAGGCTATTTGACTCTCAGCACCACTAAAAATAAATAAATAAAGGTATTAAAAACATCAACTTTTAAAAAAATTGTCAAAGATTAAATCAATTTCAGGACTTACTTCAAATGTCAAAATCTTGTGTGATGTAATCTCTGATCAACAAATCCCACTCTTTCCTAGGGCAATGTTAACTCATTACTCTAAACTACTTTTCTATTTTTATGTTTGCCTCTTCTAATAAAATGTGAATTAAGCATGGGGTTTGTTTTTTTTTTTTTTTTTTTTAAACAGTACTTCCTTTAATTTTTTTTTTTTTTTTAGAGAGAGAGAGAAATTATTTAATATTTATTTTTTAGTTTTCGGTGGACACAACATCTTTATTTTTATGTGGTGCTGAGGATCGAACCCAGCGCCCCGCGCATGCCAGGTAAGCGCGTTACCACTTGAGCCACATCCCCAGCCCCAAGCATGGGGTTTGTTTTACACCTGCTTGAGCAACAAGTACCTTGCAGACTCTAACATGATATGCTTCCTCATAAATGTTTATAGAATGCATAAATTTTCGCTCCCAAATCCTAGCTTTCACTGAGCCTGTTCCAGGAAAAAAAAACACCCAAGCTTATTATTCTAATCTGTAAGCAATGGTACCTTGAGTATAGAAAGGTTTGTTGGGCTGAAATCTTGCATTTCCCTGATGCATGAAGTTT